CGTTCCTCAACAGCCTTCTCTTTGTGTCGCCCAACACTATATTTTTTTCCCCTTTGGCGCCGCATCGTCTTATTGAATTCCCCCCTTGCTTGATATTATACAGCACAATAGACTGTTTCCTTTATATCTAACTGAAGCATTGCGCTATTTTAAATCCCCCGTCCCAGCCACAGAGATTAGGTACAGCAAAATACAAACGGTAAACGAATTTGCCGAAGGAGCTATATCGAAGTAACGAGCACGAGATAGGAAAGCAAAGAAAGATCTGGAGGGGGGAAGAGAGAAAAACAAGCTTGGATTGAAATGACGTCCTGAGATCCATCCAGTCACCGGCTTCCGAAATTCTGCGAAAAAAAAAGAATCCCTATCATCTCCCACTCCCGCCGACCAAAGAAAAAAAAAGGGCCAGGCCTACACATCCTAGAGCAAAGCTCCAAATTTCAGCCTCCCCCGCCATCTTCCGTCATCTATCTGTCCAGCCAAGCTGCCTATCTACATTACTACCTACACTACGGCTCCCTACCCCCCGTTGCCCTGATCGTCCCCTCGATCGCCGCAACGCCTCCTTGGAGCATCGCATTACTGTTCACCTCTACTGGCGGTCGTCAGCAGCACTGTCATTATTTGTAGCCGTGAATCTTTTTTTCGCCCTGTTCTTTTTTGGAGCTATTCGCGCGACCGAAAACTGCAATCGCTGTGATCATATGTCAAAGGAGAAATTCGAGACGTCGGACGAACTACTATCGAATTTACAGAGCTCGCTCGTTTCAGCGCGTCGCATTTACGATTCTGCATCGTGGGAAGCAGCCCGCTCGCCCTTCCCTCCGTTCGACTCTGCTTGCAGCCGCGTCGGTTGAACCATTCAGCATTCTTATCATTGGACGCGAAACAGAGATTCAGCGCCATAAGCTTTTGTATTCAGCAAATCCAACCTGGCGCTCGTCGCCGAATAATCCCTTCGATCAGTCACCATGATTGGCACCCAAGCGCAACAGCCGACACCGGGCGCAAAAGCTGGTCCTGATGTCCAGGCTTCTGTAGAAGGCCAATCTTCGAACTCGACAGAGCCGCCTTTGATGGCAGGTGCTAATGGCAGTTCATCGCTGGGCAAGAAGCGTAAGAAGGAGGGATTGAAGCCGATAATCACTACAGAAGGACCGTCGCCTACTGGGTAAGTCACGATTCCAATATATGTTGGTTTTCAGCTTCACAACAAATGCCTTCTTTATTGCCGGCGCGCAAACCCCCCCTGCGCCTCTCCTTACTCGTTCTTCTGCCCTGCTTCCATCAATTTTCTGTACTATCGAGCAAGTAAGCAATTCATGAAGCCAGCGCAAGTGCCTGGCGAGCAGATGTTCTCCTACTACTTCACAACAATTACTTGTGCATGGCGGCACAATGAAGTGTCATTATGCCTTTATTGCCAACAATGTCATTCTGTCCGTCGCTCTTGGGCCATGATAGTCGTCTTAGTAGTGGTATCACTGCGCTGGTGGCGGGGTTGGGTGATATCCTGGCAAGTCTGGGCATGCACAATCAGCAGCAATTGAGCTTGCAAGGCCGCTCGACTCCAGAAACACGCAAGGTTATGACTATTAGAGCGCGCGCCTATTTACGGTTGCCACGCAAAAAAAGAACCCCTTGGGATATTCCAGCAGGGTCGCCTTGTTGGGAATCTTGCATTTTATAAGCGACGCGGCCGGGCTGGATGTTACAAGTCGCAAAAAGTCTGGGTTGTGGGCGCGAGAGAGACAGAGAGACCTTCTCAGGATACCATGCACAAAAACCAAGTACAAGCGCTTGCGTGAGGGGGATCGTCGAATGGAGCCCGCTTCTGCGTCTCCTGCATAGCTTTGCGGTCTGATTCGATTCAAGAATTATCGCTCACACCAGCGCATGCAAAGTCGCTGGCGCGCCGTGTCCGTCTCAGATTCTCCCATTACTATTCACTTTCTCCTTCCGACCCCCATTTCTACTTTCTACTACATACTCCATATCAGTATTATTTTGGTCCCTGTCTGCTGCCAGACCTCCCCCTTCCGCTTCCCTCCTTCTCCCCCCCGGACTAGGTTCGCGACCCGTGAGACAACATGTCGGGCACAAACAACATCAAGAAAAGGTTATTGCTAGTCCTCGGACCCTAATGAACCTACCCACCAATTCCCCCACCACACCTTGCAGCCCACACCATCCCGCCGCCTGTTGCTCTGCTGTCTGGTCTATCTGTACCTGGTTGGACCTCTGGTTGGGTGCCAGTCAGTCCTTGGGTGGGCATTCAGACCCCCCAAAAAGCCTGCATAGAGGATACAGCAGCCTGCCCTCTTCTGCCACTTTGGGCCATCGCTGGAAACAGATATCAGTCCGTCTAGGCTAGGCGCCTGGCCACATGCACTGCAGTTCTCCCTGTCACTCGCCGCCCACAGCCCTCCTCCCATTGCGCCTGCTTTCGCTCGCTCCCAGTCTTTGTTGTACGCGCAGCTGTCGCCACCCAAAATGTCGTACTGAGTTGCCATTCTGCAATGTATCGCCAAAACTTTGACTAACCACAACCATGTATAGAACGCCGCATCTGTCGTCCGCCATGAACCAACCCTCGCCGACATCATCGTCAGGCCCGGAGGAGGCTGCCGAGAACACTGCCGACGAAGAAGATTCCGAAGACTACTGCAAGGGCGGTTATCACCCCGTTACGATCGGTGAGAAGTTCAAGGACGGAAAATACACGGTCGTTCGCAAACTCGGCTGGGGCCACTTTTCGACTGTATGGCTTTCCAGGGACAACTCAACTGGCAAGCACGTTGCTTTAAAGGTCGTGCGATCTGCTAGTCACTATACCGAAACCGCTATAGATGAGATCAAGCTTCTCAAGAAGATCGTCGAGGCCAACCCGAGCCATCCTGGTCGGAAATACGTTGTTAGTCTGCTCGACTCATTCGATCACAAGGGTCCGAATGGTGTACACGTCTGCATGGTGTTTGAGGTGTTGGGAGAGAATCTGTTGGGTTTGATCAAGAAGTGGCACCACCGGGGCATTCCACGAGACTTGGTCATGCAGATTGCGAAGCAGGTCTTGATGGGTCTCGATTACCTGCACAGAGAATGCGGCATCATCCACACCGATTTGAAGCCCGAGAACGTCCTCATCGAGATTGGCGACGTGGAACAGGTTGTCAAGAAGGTTGTCAAGAACGAAGGATCCGACAAGGAAAATCACAGGAATGGTCGAAGGCGCAGACGGACCCTGATTACTGGCAGTCAGCCATTGCCTTCGCCACTGAACGCTACGTTTAATCGTGACAATCTGTTCCCTTCACCAAAGTCGCACACAAGCTTGAATGCGATGATGCAAGACAGTCAGTCTCCTCTCCTCCACCCAAGCTATTTGACCTTGACCTTATGGTCTCGAGAGTTCAGAGTTTTGCTAACTGCGAAGCAGCAACGCCGGGCGCCAAGAGTCCCAGCGAAGAACAGCGAGAGAAGACTGCGTAAGCTCATCACTTCCGATGTATAAATTGGCGTCTAGCTAACTGTCACAGTGACATTCTGACTAAAGAGGTTTCTGGCATCTCCCTCGATAAATCTGGTGGAGCCTCGAGTTCCTCGTCTAGCGACAAGAAAAAGAGGAAGAGGAGAGGCCCCATTATCAATGTGAAAATTGCTGATCTCGGTAATGCTTGTTGGGTGTCGCACCACTTTACAAACGACATTCAGACTCGGCAGTATCGATCCCCCGAGGTGATTCTCGGCGGGAAATGGGGTGCCAGCACTGATGTCTGGAGCATGGCTGCCATGGTAAGTCCATCCATCATCTGATGAGATATACAATGGCATCGAACATTGCTGACTCCTCGCCTCTAGGTCTTTGAACTCATCACTGGAGACTATTTGTTCGATCCTCAGTCCGGCACTAAGTATGGCAAGGACGACGATCACATAGCTCAAATTATTGAGTTGTTAGGGCCATTTCCCAAGGAGCTGTGGAAGAACGGACGGTGGTCGCAAGAGATCTTCAACAAGAGGGGCGAGCTACGCAACATACACCGTCTACGTCATTGGGCACTCCCCGACGTGCTCCGCGAGAAATATCATTTCAAGGACGGCAAGGATTCGGCCAAAGACCGAGAGGAACGAGAGCGCAAGGCCAAGGACAAGAAGGACAGTGATGAAGAGGAGGAAGCTATGGAATACCACCCTTCCGAGGTTGCAAGCTTCCTGACACCAATGTTGGAATTGCTCCCAGAGAAGAGGGCCAACGCCGGTGGTATGGCCAATCATCCATGGTTAGATGATACCCCTGGCATGGAGGATGTCAAACTAGAGGGCTTGGTTCCCGGTAGCCGCGGCGAAGGCATAGAAGGCTGGGCGACAGAGGTTAAGAAGCGATAGTCCCCCACAGCCTCAATAGAGTCCTGGAACTGCACAGCTACCGAGGTTCGCCATCTTGAGTCCAATGAAGTGGTGGGAATTTACACGTGGGGAGAGTACCACGAACTGCAAGAGGCGATGCAATGGCATCTACCAGTCAAGGATGAGAGATCTAGACATCACAAAGTGGATGATGTTTTCGCCATGAATTCCCAAGATATTCGAGAGAATGTCCTATTCGCTCCTGGAGGTCTGAGAGTCGTGAGGGACGACGAAATTTCCCTTTTTGATTTGGGAGATTCTATTCTAGCGAAAGACGAAAGCGAGATAAATCAAGCGTCAATAGAAGAATCCGTATCAGCGGCACAAGGTGCGACTGATTTAGAAGGGCAGGACTTGGTGAATAGGAATCTCTATGAGAGATTCTACAACATGCGTGTTCCTCGTATCCGCATTCGGTCTTGTCCTCCTTAAGTCGAGTAGTTGATCCGGGAAAAAGCGATTTCTATTATATTTATTCTTCAAGTCTTGACACAATTATGTGTGTCGGAATGGCAGTGGAATGTGCAAGTGTGACATGCGGCGTGAAAAGATACTTTGATGTAAAACCAAATTAGCCTATGTAATTGTTGTAGATACATGCTAATGGCTCTACGTATCCCAGTATCTGGCTATGAATTCTATTATTGGGGATAGTGATCTACGAATTCGCCGATTTTCTTGAGTGCCTAGGGGCGGGACATGACTTGTTATTCGGCATGGTACTAGTATCTGGATACAGCTAGCCGGCTGTTGAAATTGGCACAGTCTGATTGGTTGATGAACCGACGCCGAACTATACTCCGGTCTATACACACGAGAGCCACAAGTACACGAATGCTGGGTACAACTTTTGTGATTTGCGACTCTGTGTGATTTACCACCACTCTTCAGAACCATGCGATGCGAAAATTGGGATCTTTTCTATTCTTGAATGTTGGCAGAACTGCTTCCCATGAGTTCGTGAATTTTGGAATGGTGAGAAAATTACTCTGCCATGTAAAACACAAAACGAGCCTTTCCATGGCACCTCGAAAGTGTGGTCTTGTACCTCTGAGCCCTTACCAAGAGTCCGAATATTGTGTCCTAGTCGCGTGTGGCAAGACTTTTCAGAAGGCTCTGTGTATGACCGGAGCCCCGACATCTGTACGGAAGCTGTTTTCGAGGATTTGAGAGCGAAGTCCGTCCCATATACTTTGCAAATCCTCTTCAATCTCATTCCGCTGAGGTCTTCCTCCTCGCCGATCCCTTGGTGGCCACCCTCCTGGTGTTGCATTGCCGTATTTGCCCATCGAGTGATCGTCTCTGTCTGCCCGACCTTGCAGAGGTGTATTGGTCGGGGTATATACTAAGTCACCCGTCTTCGCTGCAATGTCAAAGTTGCTTGGGCCTGACTGTCTGAGGACTCCGACAAAGCTTTGCTCACAGGAGAGTTCTCAGAGTGTTGTCGATATGCGCCTTTTCATCGCTGAGTTCTCTGCTTGCATACTTTTCTGCAGATCTGCCAGGCAATTCCGTTGAGAGCTGACTGTTTCATTCTTGGCATAAGTTCTGTGGATGCGGAGATATGACTGAGTGCGGATCCTGAGTTGTCGAGTTCGTGGAATGGAATATGGCTCAAGGGTCAGCAGAAGCAAGCTCAATAGGATCTTCCAAGAGGTGACTGACCGGTAGCAAAGAGAACCTTTGTTCTTCAAGTTCCATGATGGATTCTTGTGTTTTTTCGCAATCGCCCAAAGCTGACTGGGTCGCCCAATCATGGCATTTCACATTTTCTTTTCACGTATAGACATACATTCACCAAGTTCATGAGAGAAGAGTTTCAAGTGTGGGTGGTGGTCAGCATACCGTTTGCTGTTGACATTCAGTATACCTGAACAGACCGGTTATGCCTGCTAAAAACCTCCCGGCCGGTGGGTGGCTTTTCGTGGGGAGGAAAAAGGTTCATGACCGGCTGTTATGTTGTGTGGTTTTTCGTTTCCTGTCAGGATCCAGCCTTCCTTGCTTTCATGTCCTGACAAGACCGACCATGCCCGTTAAAAAACCTCCCGGCCAGTGACGGCTTTTCGTGGGGAGGAAAAAGGTTTCATGGTCGGATTTTGTCCTTTTCCTCGTCAAGAATCGGGATCCCTTCTTTGGGGTGACCTTCATATCCAAGACAGCAAGTGAAGGGATGGCGAAACTCCGTCCCAAGCCCCAGTGAGTTGGGGAGGGAGGTATCCAGCGGCTGACACCTTGATTGTTGACCTAAAGTGGTCGAGGTTCGCCGAATCATCAGCCCCTTTCCGCGACGCAGCTGGAAAGGAAAACCCCAGGTGAAAGCACTCATCCCCGACCCAAATTGTTTTCTTTTTTGTTCCCCTTTTCCTCCACTCCTCCGCCCCCCAACCTGTGCTTGTGTGGTCTTTTCTGGTCTTTTCTGGTCCTCCCTGCTGGCATTCTTGGTGGTTGGTCAGTCAAAAACATCTCGAAAACAAAGTCAGGTCAGGAACTCGGTAAACTTACGCAGCAGGGGCATGAAAAATGCCTTGAACGTGTGCGCTCGGGCGCTTTGCAACGCGATTGTTCTTGCACTACAAGTCATGGTCAGCCAGGAAAGATCAATGTCTCTGTGGAAACAATGGAGACTTACGGTCTGCCTTTAAGGCATCAGATGGACCTGCCGCGTGCATGGGTTTTGTTCTGGAATCGATCTGCACTGCAAGTGTTGATAACTCAGGTCAGTCGAAAATTGCCCAAGAAGACAAAAAGAACACCGAAGGAATGGAGCAAACCATACAAGGCTGTGCCATTCTGGGGCAATCTGTTTTCTTGTTTCGTGGGAACCTTGGAGCCTTGCGTCATTTCGATTATATCTAGCAGTCATGGTCAGCCAAACAGTCATGTATTTCGTCAAGAAGAAGGAAAAGAAGGAGAAGACTCACAAATTCGAGCCTCGGTGGCATGTGAAGCTTCTTTTTATATGTATATATATTTGTTTGTCCCCTCTCGCTCGCAAGTGAATTGTCAACTTTGGAAAAAAGTAACATGTGTGCGAACGAGAGGGTCCATGTAACCGCGTGTGCCCCTCTCCCCCTCGCTCACAAGTAAAATAGTCAATCAAAAAATGTGACATGAGCGAACGAGAGGGCCAAAAAAGGAGGAGCAACACGCGGCTTTTCTGGGTTTTTTTTTTCGGCATGGTGTTTGGGTGTTTCGTGAATGGCTCCGGCATGAACTGGTGAGAGCATCCCGAGAGAGAGGGAGAGAAAATTTTTGTTCGAGTGGATGTCATGGATGAGTTGTGTGAGAGTGTCTTGTGCGGAATGATGCGGACCGATGTGGACCGATGCACTCGACAAATCTCCTCATCTGTAGTTGACATGATGCTCATGGTGGGTTGGTTCAGAGGCCTTGACTGGAACTGGTTGAAGCATCCCAAAAATTGGAATTGAGTGTCATGAGATGAATGTGTGAAAATATCATGTGCAAGGTATGAAACCTGACAATAATTTCCTCATCTGAAAGTATGACAATGTCTTAATATATGACAATGATGCTTGCTTCGTGGTGAACCAGTAGCCAGTGAAAAGGGGAAGAGCCATTCAGCGAAACTTGGAGTCAGTCCGGTCAAGGGCTACTTGCTGGGACATGTCTCCAATTGGATTGATGGAAATCGCCACAAATCCATCATCCGGTGTGGTCAAGTCTTGGTGATTTGTTGCCATTCGCCAATGAATGCACCAAGACTTGTGATCCTCCAGGAATCACAAAGATCCTATTAGAGAGTTGCAGGTTGTCAAGAGCATGAATCTGAGCTGGAGAGGTGGAATGATTGGAAGCTTGATGTAGAACAAGAATAGTTCTGATGTAGACAAAATAGTCCTGATGTAGACAAAAAGTAGTCGTGCTTCGAGTTGTTCAATCTTGAGGAGAAAATCATACTCCAATGCTCAATGGTATTTTCTGGGGTGGGTGATTCATGCTTGAGGGTTTGCGTACGAGAGACTGATGCTTCGAATGGTGTGTTTTGGTACATGATTGACTGTACAAACACCTGATGAAGAGAAACATCTGATGAAGAGGAACACCTGGTGAGTAAAAACACCTGGTGAAGAGGAATGTGAAGAAGTATGCGAAAGAGGGAAAATATTCGCAAAAGAAGCATCAAGTCTTGCTCGTAGCTCTCTCTGGAGGGATTGCGTGAGGGTATCTTGGTCTGATTGATCGAATGGCGCTCCTGTGGTATGTACCTTGGATGTATATGGCACGAAAGTAGCCAAAAGGTATCGAATGAGAGCGGTGTGAGGGTGGAGTAAAGTTCATGATCAAAGACACAAGATGGTCTCAGCAATAGTTGCTGCGTAAAAGTCAAGTCAAAAGCTTGAATAGTAGGCCGTCGAATTGGAACAACATGGTTGGGGGAGAGCATGTTTGGAAGAACGTTCCGTTGAAGGTAAAGAGGTATGTATGGATCGGCGGTACTGATTCGTTGCTTTCTTCCGAAGAAACCGAGCTGCGCGGGTTGTCTGTCTGTGGTCGACAGGGGTATTTTCATGGCCAAATGTCTAGAAGTGACATGTGTGTACTGGTTGGCTGTCCGTAAGTGACAGTTGTACTGGCCGTCTGTCTATAGTCGACAGAAGTGCTGGAACAGAATGTCTTGGAGTAACATTTGCTGTGGCCGAATGTCTGAAAGTGACATGTGTGTGTACTGAATGACTATCTGTAAGCAATAGTCGTACTGGCCATCTGTCTATAGTCGACAGGTGCACTGGACCCTGGGTTGAAAGTCTGTAGTCGACAATCTTTGGAAAAGGTTGCAGTTCGGAACAATGGTCTATAGTCGACGATTGTATCGGGAAAAGGTAGTAGCAGCGGAGACTCTGTCTGTAGTCGACAAAAGTCTGGTAATCTGTCTGTAGGCAACAGGAACTCTGTCTATAGTCGACAAGAGTTTGGTTATCTGTTTATAGGCAACAGTAACTCTGATGATACAAAAGCAGCAGCCGTGCGCACCAACTGCCTATAGTCGGCAGTTTGATTGTCTGGACTCGGAAATGGTCAACGGACGAAATGGACCTTGGTTGACTGTCTATAGTCGACAGTAACACTGGTCATGGGTGGCAATGGAGGCTGTGCAAGTAATCTGCCTATAGTCGACAGATGTATGGACCCTGATCTGCCTATGTCGTCAGATGCGGAACCCTGATGGACGGACTGACTATAGTCGCCAGTCGTCGTCGCCATGTGAAGCGGAAGCTGTCTATAGTCGCCAGCAACGCTGAGAACACATGGAAGAGGCAAGCTGTGCGTACGCGTACAAACTGACTATAGTCGCCAGTTGTGTACTGGTAGTCTGTCTATAGTCGACAGTACCGTGAGCGATGCAACAAGCTGCGAGGGGAGGGGAGGGTCGTATAGAAGGGGGGGTATATATATCTCAGATCATCTTTCACTGAGGAATTGACTTGATGACTCGCTCAGGAAGATTCGATTTCATCTTCCACTCCAATCTTTCTTTCCCTAAAGTTCGTCTTGGTTACAACGCTTCCCATCAGATGATCTCAACTACTGTCTGGCTTCATCGAGATCTCCGGAAAAAAGCGCTGATAAGCCCTGGAACCCGACACTGCGTTCTCAGATCTGAGTTGAGTATTGCAAGTGTCTTCGTCACGGTGCGAACAATCTCCAGGGTCCGGGTCATTGCCGCGAGGCTCTCCGGGGGCATTTAATGGCTGCTCCTCACCAAAGGGAAAGAAAGAAGGGAGTGGAAGGAATATGCGCGCGCAGCGCTCGTGGTCCCTCTTACTCAGGCTTTGAAGGCTTCTTTAGCAGGATCTTCACCTTCTTGGAAGTAGGTGTCAATCGCTGCAGCTGGCGTGCCCCCGTAGTCCGAGTAGGAGTAGGCGACGGTGTGCCCTTTTCTACAAGGAAGCCGGCAGTTCTCAATGCCTCGTGAGAAGTTGGCTTCTCACGATCCATGGCATCGGGCGCGTACCGACTGCGTCTTGTGGGCTCCTGAAGCCCGGGACCAACGTATGGCGTCTGCGGCGCGAGGGGGGCCGGGTGCTGTGAGCTCTGCTGTTGCGAACTCTGCTCGTCGTCTGACATGCTGTAGTCGACCTCATCCTCTCTGGACACGTTTTGGTCACCAAACCCAGTCGAACAGCTTGCGCCATTGTCCTCGGGAGCGGCATCCATTACAGTGTCAGCGGCAGTGGGAGCGGAACTCTCTTTGGGGAGAGAGTCACTGTCGCCACCGTCACCAAACAGAGAGGCGAGAGAGTCATGGTCATCCTCTTCCATAGCGGAGACCGGACCAGGAGCAGAGCCGTCATCATCATCGTCATCGCCGAAAAGAGAGTCGTTGCCCAACAAGAATTCCTCAAGGGAGCCGGGCTCAAAAGAACCCTCCTCCTCGCTTGGATCCTCGACAGAAGGAATTGACTCCTCTTCAGCAGCATCCCCACAGTCCTCATCCATCATCACCTCTTGCTGCTGCTCCGATCCGAAGACAAAAGCAGTAGTAGGCACTGGCTGTGCCCAAGAGACTACGGAACCGAGTCCTGCAGGGACAACGGCAGACGATGATGCATCAGCGGAGCCGATAGCACCGAAACCAAAGTCGATATTGGCCACAGCGGTGGCAGCAGGCTGAGTGGCGTTGGCTCCAAACCAAGTCACGGGAGCTGCTGGCTGCTGTGAACCGAATCCGAAATCGACAATGGGCAACTCAGCGGCAGCAGACTGAGTTGCGTTTGGCCCGAAGAAAGCCATGGGAGCCGTTGTAGGCTGCGGTCGGAAACCAGAGTCGACGACATTGGCCACAGCGTTGTTGTCAACAGACTCAGTGGCGTTTGCACTAAACAAAGCCACAGGAGCTGCCGGCTGCTGTGAGCCAAAAACGAAGTCGACATTGGCGATGTTACTTGCAGCACGCTCGGTAACATCGCCGCCAAAGAAGGCCAGCGGAGCCGCTTGCTGATGTGAACCAAAATCGAAATCGAAATTGGCCACATCTGTGGCAGCAGACTGACCTTCCTCAGCCATGGTTTCGTTCCGCTGACCTACAGCGGGCTGCGACCCGAAATTCCAGTCAACAACAGTATTGGCCACAGCTGTTGTAGCAGACCGAGTGTCAGTGGTTCCAAACCAAGACACTGGAGCTGCGGAAGTTTGCCGTGGACCAAAACTGAAGTCGACTTGGACTTCATTCGTGTTCGTGGCGTTGGCTCCAAAGAACGACATTGAAGCCGGTGCCACTCGCTGCTGGGGTACAGCGCCCGCAAACACGAATTGGTCGCAGGAGGCATTTTGCTGTTGCTCGGCAAAATGCTCATCCCATGCTTCTTCAAAATCCTCCTCGAAGCCATCCCAATCATCGCAAGACATCTCCTCGGAGGTCTGCATCACCTCGGGTTCTGCAAGAAGAGGCTGAATCGTGACGGGATTAACCGCCACAGGCTCTACCTCCATTGCGTCTGAACCGTTCAGCTCAGCATATTCCAAGTCCGTCTCCATGGGGAGCGGAATGTCTTGTGCGGCCGGCACAAGTGCAAGTTCCCGATCCGGCTCATCAAGAGCCATCTCAACTTCCTGCACATCAATGAACTCGGTCGGATCCAAGCTCATTGCCACGTCCGTGGTGGCTGGCATTGTGGTCACTGGAGTGACCGGCGGCAATGCCAGCACTGGCGACGGAGCGGGTACCGTGGACGCAGCCATGAAACCCTCCTGCGTGTAAACACGCTTTTGGGTCATGTTGCGCCACTCCGCAAAGGTGGTTGGCGCGGCCTCCTCAATCTCAGTGAAGTTCTGCGCGACCATGTCAGCCAACCGCGAGGTCAATGGCCGACGATCAGGCGTAGAAACCACCAGGTCGAGAGAGGCTCGAGAAGGTTCATCGACATCCATCATGTCGACAACGCTATCCTCAGCCATTGCCGTAGAGTCGACGGCGTGGGCTGTCGGAAGAGGGGAAGCGGCCGTGTTGATGGATGCCGGTTGCTCTGGCGACTTGAAACGAACTGGGCACGGCGTCCAGTCCATCTCACTTGCGGAATCATCTGAATCTGTGTCCAGCTGAAGTTCGGCACCCTGTTGGGGCTCTGAGTACTAGTCAGAGTTGCCTGGCAGGGCGGTCACCTCGGGAGTATGGCAAACAGAAACAATGTCACTGATGATAGGCTCCGGCGATTTCATTGGCGAGCTGGGATCCGCTGCGCTGCTGTCATCGTCGGAGTAATCGTAGAAGTCATCAGGGAGCCCGTAGGTCGAACAACCTAGCGAGTTCATCTGACGATTCTTGCGATAGCCCTGGTCGTCATCAGAAGATTCATCCGTAGTAGTGTCGTCCGTGGAGTCGAAGTCAAAGTCCTTGTCCCAGTCGTCATCCTCGGTGTCGCTGGCGTAGTCGAGGTGCTTATCCGTGAAAGTCAGCGAACGTGACATGCCAGTGGGGGGAGGCTGGTGGCTATCATCGTCATCCTCATCATCGCTGTCATTGTCGACATGAATGTCCGAAGACGTCGACGGACGAGCAACTGGCTGGTTCCAAGGTAGCGAATCAGGGAACCGAGACCAGGCGAAGAGGATGAAATGGCAGCAGAGGACAAAGGCCAGGAGGCAAGTCCACAGTAGAGTGACCGTAGCTTTTCCGAACTGGTACAGAACCTTGAGCAGAGTGCCAAGGAACTGCTGCACGGCCCGACCCGGGACACTGGTCATCAAGCCGAAGGCGAAAGCATAGCAAACACCAACGACGACATAGAGAACCAGACCCAGGGCGCCTAGGCCCAGGTGAATGCCCAGTTGACACTGGACAACCCAGACCAAGCGCTCCATGCCCTGCGGACCGTACTTGATTGCATCAATCAAGCCTAAGAACGCGACATAGGCATAGAAACAGAGCCAGCGCACACCACCGTACTTGGCGGAGGCCACTCCACCACCAACCAGAAGGACAACCGAGGCGACGAGGAACAGGGTACCGCAGATGAGAGCCGGTATAGTCATCCAGAGGTACAAGAGGAAAGCGCACAAGCCACAGAACCAGATGCCTTCCATCAAGCCAAAGGCAAGACAGGCAGCAAAGGGCCAGGCGAGCACGATCCTGAAGGTCACGTTAGTTTACAACGATTCAACAAAACTTCTTGAGTTACATATGAATTGATTGAAAGTACTCGAACTATATGGAATGGTCTAGGAGGGAACGGATGGTGGGAGTGACTTGGCATGGTGATGAAGCATGAATGGGATGGATGGGACGATGAAGATGTATGATGAAGATATATGATGAAGGTATATGATGAACATGTATGATGAACATGTATGGTGGAGAGGGATAGTGGATAGGTATGGTGGATATATATGATGAAGATGTATGATGAAGATGTATAATGAAGATTTATAATGAAGATGTATAATGAAGATGTATGATGAAGATGTATCATGGACATGTACAAGTAAATGAATGTACAAGTGAATAAACTTGTGGTGGGGGAGGGACATAAACAATATGAGGGTTGATGTTTGGAGGGGTAGCTGGATAAGAGAATGGTGGGATGGAGGGGTAATCTGAATAGCAACAAGCCAGAGTTTTCTCGCGATGGGAAAAATATTGGATGGACGTTTGGATGGAGAAGTCGACAGCGTGGTCGATGATGGAGATGGAGATGGGCATCAGGAGAAGCAGTTGACAGAGAAAACACAGCCACAGAACCAAGAATTCATCTCCCTTGATGGTATCTTGCGCTGACAGACAGAAAAGGAACAGAGGGAAGCAATGAAAAAGGGTGCAAACTTACCACTTGACATCCTCGGATGCGTCATGCATCTCAAGGGTGCCCAGGTCGACTCCGAGCAGTGCCATAAAGGCGTAAAGAATGGCAACAAAGGCCAGGAGACGGATGACGTGCTGAGTCATCGTGGTATCGTCGTCGGTATGGATCTTAAAGATCGAGAAAGCGGGAAGGGAAATGGTGACAGAAGTCGGGTAACGAAACGAGAATTAAAATTCTGGAAGCGTAAGTCCTAAAGACGAGAGGTTCAAGTGAGTCAAGGGAGCGGCGCTGTAAAGCTAGCAGTTATGATACACGTAAATATGAACTTGATCAGTGGGACGAAGAAGAAAGGGAAAAAAAAAAAGCTTCAGGTTTGGCTGCAACAAGGGGGTCATTTATAATAAAAAAAGTCCTGGCTGCGAGCCGCAGTGGCAGGTGTCGGCCGGACCTGGCGGCCCTGGAGTTTTGCACCGCGCTGGCCGCTGCGAATAGTTGCAAACGGCGGCCGCGGTGGAATTCTCGCTTCTCATTGGCCAGCCTCCAGGCTACCACGCAGACTAACAGCCCAGCAGCCCAGCCGCGCTCTGGTCTTTGTACCTTTGTACCCCTGGCCGGTTTTTTCGAAAGGGGGCATGGCATTTTGCTCGAGTTCGTCCCTCCCAGCCGCAGCCGAGTCAGCTTGATATTATAACAGATGTTGGTGTTCACGGGCAATAGTATAGATACAAGAACTACAATAACTTGAATATTATTTAACAGTCATCCTCTGGATATCCATCTACTTTTCGTGAGGGCAGCTTGCACTTATGTAGGATCAAGAACCGATATGCTGAACACGCACTCTGAGCACATGCACTCCATGGACTTTGTGACTCAAAGGCGCAAACTACAGATTGTCACTTGGCATGTCAAACATTGTGTATGTCGATCACCGGAATGATTGTCTAGAACCATGGATGCAAGATCATCCAGCATTGAGTCTCGTCTTCTCGTACTGGAGATGCAGAATATTTGACAAATACGTGAACTCTTTGATTTCATCATGGCCGTTTGTTTTGATTGCAGCCTGCGAGCTGTCGCGACCAACCTGGCGGGCAGCTCCCCGCGTAGCAACCAGTATGTGACGCGTCAAGCTACAGCAGCTTAACCATTTCGTGGTGAGCAGCGACTGTTGCGGCCGGCGGGCTCAATATTTGGACAGAAGAGGTTTTTTTTGTCATTACGAGAGAGAGACAGAAAGAGCGGGAACGAGACTAATCGTGCTATCAAACCATTTGCGGAAAGTCATGTGCCATGGTCATATCGTTGAACTCGAACGCGGGCCACTCTGCTGCCAGATACTACGCAGACTCGCCCGGAAATCAGAGAGTGAATCCTGCGTGTTTGCCTCCAGCGTGGCCATGATGACTGTGCTAAATTCCCAAGCCACTGTGAGCAACAGACGTGTAGAGCTGCTCACTGTAATCTACCTCTTGTTTTCGACGGGTTCCTGTGATCTCGAGTATTTTCCATCCCTCCGTGTTATCTGTCCAGTGTATTGCATGAGGTCTCCAATCAGGACTTCCAACAGCGCGAATAAATTCATTGCCTAGAACCCGCATCCATCAAGTCCAAGTTCGCCGTAGAAAGACGTGACGCGGCTGATTATAGCAACGCAGAGTGGTGCCAGCAGCATTAGATTGCACATGGGTCCGTAGCATGAGCTCAGTACTATTGGAAATGAGACTGACTGGTAAGCTCAAGTATGATAATAAAAGACATCTTCACCACAGGTCCTCGGGATGGGGTCACGACCTGAATAAACTAAACTGTAAGCTGGCATGGGTCAGTGGTAGAGGTCGTTAGACCTTGATTTCTTTTTGCAGTGCTACTTGTACGTATATGCTTCAATTTGGTTGAGTGCCTCTTTTTTTTTTTTTTTTTCTACCCTCCCTCTCTCCTTTCCACAGTCTGGCTTGCAATTTGTCGGTAGTGGTGTTGCATGTGGTTCTGATTGAACTTTGATACAACTTAATGCTTTCTCCACATTCAGTATAATGTGTCCTGTGAACTTTGATAATTCCATGGCTATATCAAATACGGTTTTTATTCTTGAGTAATTATGCTTACATCATATCCTCAAAAGTAGATCTCAAAGCTCAATATTCAATGTATCATCTTGTCGAAACACAAGACATGAATCAAATATGTCTATCAATCCTCTCTGGATGATAAAATCCACTTGCTTGATACTGCGGTCGACTGGCATAACTCAGAATCGACTCAAATCGCCTTATTCAAAGTTGAAAGAAACGCTATACAAACCACCAGGCATATGGCTTGGCCTATTGCCTTATGGTGATGACACTCAGTGAACTCAACGTGGTGGAAGCAGTACCCAATTCGAAAACAAAAGTCTGAAAAGCATCAAGCAACAAGCAACTTTTTTTTTTTTTTAACAACAGGGCATTTGGACAACTCGCCAAATATGTCTTGTCCTCAACTCAATCAGATATGCACCATAATGATTAGGGACGTGTAAAGGTTAATCACTCCAGGAATGGCTATTCTGTTATGGAAAAGACAATATAATTCAATCACAAGAACGCTAAGGTATATGTCTCGACTCCAGCCCCTGAACTCCGTCCTATAAGCAGTCCTGTCAGAATGACTGCACGTCATTAGTCATTGCCTTTGATCCTAAAGATTTATTTCCTTCCCCTAGCCAAAAGCCTTTCATGCAACTCGACGATGACATCGCTCCACGAGTTCTTATCCGCAGCCTCGTCTCCTGTTCTAACTAATTCTCCTAGACGTGTGACCAAATAATCGCATACATTGTCAATCTTAAAGTGCTCGCCGTAGACCACCTTTGCTTGTGGCGAGATGGTAACCTCCAGTCCTTGGGGTGTGTCTTGAGCATGCATTCCCAACACAATGTCTACCTTGGTCTCCAAAGCTGCAAGAAGCAAGACAATCTTGACCGTCAGGGTGGAGTCATCGGTCCGGGAGACCTCGGTAGGAAAGGTGCAATTCAATATACGGATGTCGTTGGCCACGGCGCCGGCCTTGTCCCACGCTGCGCCGACAGCCCGGAGAAGAGTGGAGATCTTTGTGCTAGCTTGGTCCAGTCTCCTTACGTAATCACGGATGCTCTGTACAAAAAATTCCTTTTCGGGAGTGGGCGGCTGTGGATCGCGCTCCCGATTGGCTGCAACATACCACAGGTCAATGCGCGAGCCACTAGACGAGCTGCCGGGCTGGTGCGCGCTGCCCTGGAAGGAGGCAATGTCAAATACCAGCTCAATGTCCCGACGGTACGTCATGGAGATCCTGCTTCCAGATATGCCGGTAATGTTCCAGCCGTGCTCCTGTTCAATGGCATCGACTTTTTCTGTGCACATGTTTTAGTCTCAACCCAGATATTGCAGCAGTCTTGAAGTGGACTCACCTTTAAGAGAGCTGATCTCGTGAGAGGTCCAACCTCTACACTCTTCACGGATTTGCTCGGCTTCTGCAATTTCTGCCACGCAATCCTCTTTCCTCCGTGACAAGCCTACCACTGTTGCCTCGGTCTCTTGAAGTGTATGCTGCAACTCCTCAATCTGTCGAGCCATGGCCTCAATGTCGGCGTCGACTGCTGTCAGCTCAGCCCGGGCAGCCAGCAAGTCTTCGGGGTCACAATCTGCAATCTCTTGGGCGATAGCTTGCAAGTTCTCGTGCTCAGTCTCGAGTGCTTCTGACTGCGCCGTAAGTTCTGGCAATATTGACTGCAGCAGCTGTTCCTCCTTTTGCAAGACTCGCTCGTCCTCATCCATCTCCTCGGCTATCTTCAACAGACCTTCCTTGAGGCCATCTTGAAGCTTCATGCGCCATTCGTACCACATGGCTTTGCTGAGTAGCCGTGCGTGTGTTTTGACATTCTTGAATTGATTGTCCATCAGTAGCTTGAAGTCCGGTGATGCAGAAATGTATTCCTTGAACAGTGGTGGGTTTTCTTCAAAGGTCTCAGTCTCGATTTCGCGCACGATGCGACGTCCCTCTGAAATGTACTTTTTCAGCTCGCGGCATGAATGTTGATAAAGCTCCAGCATGGGGACTGTGCAAGCCCCAGCAACAACACAACGCTCGAACGACATGTCATCTTCTCTCTGCAATATGCTGTCTCGGAAAGAATCCGGGGCTTGAGTGTGTCGTCGTTTGGTGGTAGTGAGTTCCATGAATCGAATGCTTGTCATATTGAGGAAGTCCTGGAGGTGAATGCGCTCCAGACCGTCATCGGGGATTTCGAGATCGTCCAATCGGGTTGGGTCCTCGAAGCTAAAGGTATTTGTAGGCTGATCTTCAACGACTTTGAACTTGTTTTTGGCTTGTGGTGACTGCACGGAAGAAATTTTTGTTGGTGAGAGAGACGTTGGCGTGCTTGCGCTCTCCTCTGTCTCTTCAGGGACACGTCCTGATGATCTGGTGCGACGACCAGTTGTCTCAGCCTTGGAAGGAGGTGCATTAAGCCGCACATTCTTGACAGGCGATCCTTGGTGACCCTTGAGTCTCTTGACACCATCTCTTTGGTCATCTTCATCATCTTCGTCCAGTTCAGAGGGCCGCTTGCCAAGAAGGCCCATGGCACTGCCCACGTGCAGACTTTTTCGGCCGCGGAGAGGGACACTCTTTTTCTTGGGGGTCATGCTGGAGATCATGTCCTTCAGGGTAGATGTCGAGTTCTCATCATCGCCGTCTGCCTCTCTTTCCAGAATTTTTCGGCCATTTTCTCGGTCTTCATCAACCCGGCGATCTCGGTCTAGTTCTTCCTCGATAGGTCGTGGGTCCGCAAATGAAACTCCTCGCCCAGGTTTTCCAGGAATGAAATTGTCCGCCGCTTCGCCGATCGACCCGCGGCGGTCCAGAATCTGAGTAACCTTGGGGGATCCTAGTCCTGGACGATCAGCTCCCAACCCAGACAGCCTGCGCCTCTGAGGCGTGAGAATGTGTCGTGGTGTGGAAATGCCAGTCGATAAATCTTGCTGAAAGATACTAGTTCTTTGTGGGCTCTTTTGGACTGATCGAGGCGTTTCTGAAATCTGAATCGTAGGTCTCTGGGGCGAAGCAGTCCTTGCCGGTGATCTGCTTGGTGACTTGGCAGATGGTGTCCTCTTGGGTGGAGACGAAGCTACCTTTGACTTCGGTGTGAGCTCCTTGAAAGGGCTTGAAGACTTTGCTGGCGAAGTGTTGCGGATGCGCAGCGAACTTCTTAGAGAAGAGTTCCTGAGAGGTGAGGGATTTCTGGCAGGAGACGAGTTTCGCATTGGGGATGAGTCTCGCATAGGAGAAGAGGAGTTCTGTATTTGAATCGTACTGTGTCGAAGTCCTTTTCCACGGAATGCTGACAGACCAGGACTTTCAACTACTGGCGAAGGCGCTTTGTTCTCAGTTAAAGCTGACATGCGTCTCTTGGAAGGAGAATCGGCTGTAACCGGAGTACTGTCAGTTCGATCGACCTCTTCTTCCATCAGTTGCTTCGCCACTGTACGAGCCTCCTTTGGGGATGGTTGTGTGATTATGCCACCAATGGCCTGTGTCATCTCCATGCCCATAGTTGCGTCATCTTCGTCGTCCTCCACTTCAATACGCTGCTGATTGGGAATGATACGACCTAAGCCAACTGTCATGTCCATGGTGGCCTCATCACCGGCGTTCGTGGTTCGCCGTCTGCTAGGCAAAGATTTCCTACCCTTGGCTGCAGTCTGAGTTGAGGCCAAAACACCCCCTATCACATTTGTGAGCTCCATCGACATGTCCTCATAGCCTGCATCGCTCTGCAATTCGGTTGCATCGTCTTCCGGGGCTTGTGTCTTTCGAATACCGCCAATCGCCGTCGTCATGTCCATGGTGGCGTCATCCATGTAGGACTCTTCGTTGGCCTTTTCAGGACTGGTGGCACTTTGTCGAGCGAGAATACCTCCTAGAACCTTGGTGACGTCCATTGACATTTCCTCGTCTGCAGCGTCATCTTCTGGGGCATTTGACTTGATAATACCGCCAATTGCGTGGGTCATCTCCATGTCCATGTCCATATCCATGTCCGTTTCGCCGTTATCGTCGTCCTGGCCACTAGATGTCTCAGCATGCGATACCTCGGGCGTCGCCTGTTGATGTGGATCGCGTTGCGCCAGGACAGGTTTCTTGGCCCAGCCAAAAGAGGGTATGATTTCTTCTTCCTCGTCAATACTTTGAGTGTGTGCTTGTCTCTGCGCCAGTCGTAGAGCGTCGTTCAAAGTATCGTTCTCGGAATCCATGGAATGTTCCGTCCAAATTGATTGTCCAGATGCGATTGAGGTACCCGTCATCTCATCAATGTCCACATCCATGGTGGTGCCATCGTTGTCAGAGTCACTACCAGAGTCGGAATCAATCTCTTCGTGTGTCTCAATCACCCCGTCCGTGGCATCAGAATCTGAGCTGTAAATAGTTGAAGCCAACGTGTCATCATCACCGTCGTGATAGTTCAGAGTAGACGCAGCTGAGCTTCTTCTGCGCTTCTTCTGATGCAAGTCTCTCTGATCTTCAGGCGTATCCGGCACAAGGTCTTCTTGATCCGGTGGCGTTGACGGTGGATCTGATCCATCTGGACTGTCAGGTGCTTGTGATTCTGACTGTGCAGCGAGTTCTGAGGCCCGTCGAGCAGCTTCAGACGATGTTGTCGAGTCTTGCATGTATTCAACTTCGTGAAAGGTGTGTAGCGTAGCTTCTGCGGCAAATGAAACTCTGCGGTTGGCTAGGGACTTCCGTCGTGCCTCTCTCCGATCGTTGATTTCCTTTTCCAGAGCCTTCCTCTCTTCCTCTTCGCGTTTTCGTGCAGCAGCTTGTTGCTCCTCCTCTGTGCGCAATGCAATCTTGGTTCCAGACGAGCTGGAATCATCCTTTCCAAAGGGGGAAAAGGATCCGTTGCCACTCTGAATACTCGAACCAAATCGCGACTTAGGCTTATGGGGTGGTATTTCTGGCAATATAGGAATCGTTGGCTTCAAGATCGACCTGGGTGGCGGTCTGACTGGTGCGGCTAGCGACTGGAAATCAAATCAATCTCTGCCATGAAGCGAGCAGCATGAAGACGAGCATGCGTCGGACACGATCACTTACCACACGCCTATTACCGGTGCTTGGTTTAAGAGCGTCAAGTCCACCTGGTCCCATACTCTTGCTTCGCGACTTCTTTCGGCCTCCATTACCGGCCAAAGAGCTAGCCACGTCCACAGTGATATTCTCCTTATCCATCTTCTTGCGAACTGGCGACTGGCCAGTGGATTTGCGCGACCGCCGAGTTGAAGGCACCGTAACATCCATCTTGAACAGATATGGGCGCGACAATGATGCAAAACGTGGCGCGACCCTCGTTCAACTAAAAGAGCGTATTTTTAAAGCAAATGGTACTGATTTGGGCCATAGGACTCCAAGCGCGCATGAACATGACTTTAATTGTGGATGTTAGCAACCGCGTCACAGCAAGCAGCGGGTCACTTTTGTTTGGCCTCTGCGACGGACTTCCATTGTTTACAGCACTTCCATATCAAGACTAGTGCGGGACCTCTTGAGAAACTGGGGAATGTGATAAGCGGGTCGGTGCTTCTGAATTTGCAAAGGCCCATTTTGGCCAGCAAATGCACCGCCACCGACACACTCACAGACCAGCCAAGGCCTGAGCCCCACTTGAGCTTAGTTACGGCGGTGGAAAGCCACAAATCAGCCACAGCCCTTTTTGCTTGCCCGCACACATTTGAAATTTCGTGACAAAATTCTTAGGATTGGAGAGACCCGCCTCGAAACTCAAGAACACCCATTCTTTCGCCCAACGCCCAACCTCAAGTCAACCACCAACTCGGCCACCGCACGACCTTTGCGACCATCGACCACCGACAATCGCAAAAATGGCGACCGAGCTTACCGTCCAGTCTGAGCGTGCTTACCAGAAGCAGCCTCACATCTTCCAGAACTCCAAGGTCAAGACCAAGTCTGCTAGACCTGGAAAGGCTGGCCGAAGATGGTACAAGGACGTCGGTCTGGGTTTCCGTACCCCCAAGACCGCCATTGAGGGCAGCTACATCGGTACGTGAGAGAAAACGAGAATTGCAACGGAGGACCAAAAAAACACAAATTGCACCATGGGAAGGGAAGCGACGCGAAACTTCAGCCGAGACTGCAATTCGAAATTTTGCGACACGGCGCGGAACATACCCACACACATACACAACTTCATTGCGAATCGCGCGACACACTTTTCTTGGTTGAGGAGGAATTTTTCGTAATGACCAGCCGCTGACATGATTCCTGTTTGCAGACAAGAAGTGCCCCTTCACCGGTCTCGTCTCCATCCGTGGCCGTATCCTGACCGGTACCGTTGTTTCCACCAAGATGCACCGTACCCTGATCATCCGCCGGGAGTACCTTCACTTCATCCCCAAGTACGCCCGTTACGAGAAGCGCCACAAGAACCTCGCCGCCCACGTCTCCCCGGCTTTCCGTGTTGAGGAGGGTGACCAGGTCACCGTTGGACAGTGCAGACCTCTCTCCAAGACTGTATGTGGCATCCCCGCCCTCAATGTGTAGGAGCGATCTTTATGGGTACACGATGACTGACTCTCCCTCTCCAGGTCCGATTCAACGTTCTTCGCGTCCTGCCCCGCACCGGCAAGGCCGTCAAGAAGTTCAGCAAGTTCTAAAATGGTTCATCTCTTCTGGGGGGCATTAAGGCGTCAATTGCATGAAAGGGTTCGTCATGTGTTCTGAGAATTAGGACTAGGGCGGTTCAATAGGATGCTGCTCGGCCAAAAAGAAGCCATGTTTTGCAGCTAAGAATACAACGATTTCACGCACACCAACTCTACCTCGAACGATCACGATTGGTTTCCTGGAACGATAGGTACCGAAAACTTGGGACATGAGGGATGTATCGATATGACAACAAAACGTCTTGACGATCAGGATGATTTTCTACTTGTTCATGCGCACACGGAGACTTGCAAGTGAATATCTTGTTTTCGGTCCGACCTCTTGACTATCACTGCGTATGCCCAAAGATATAAGTGGTAGTTGCGTTACGGGCCATACTGATCAAGCGCTTGCAATGTCAACATGCTGATAGGCACCTGATACGACGGGCATCTGGCGGCCATGCGGAACCTGGATTTGAATGTGTTCGGCATCAAATGTCAATTCTCAACGAAGGAACCATCGTTATGCACATGTAAATGTAGTCTGATATGTTGTCCAGCAATTCATGACTTGGTCGCCATTTCAACCATGCCCAAGAATGAATATAGCGCCCTAGCTGCAAATGTCAGTTGCTATTAATTAATTCACCATTTCAAAAAGTAGGTTTCTGGATCTGTATTATAATGAGTGTGTATTAACACTGTGTCTAATCGGCGTTTTGGTCATACTTTGTACAGTCCCCATATTTGTCTAGCACCGTATGCGATCGATAGAGGCCAATAGCTCGGAAGATCCCGAAACCCATTCTCAAAGCTTCAACTTTTTTTTCCTCCTTCTCCAGAGATTCGCAACGGGAGCAGCTCGAGAACACAACCACGCCGATCTTAGCGCATGAAATTTGTCCCTCCGAATATCAATTGCTATCCAGAGTTCTCGCGATTAGCCACAAAAGACCAAAATGGGCTGGTGGCATAGCCTTTGGGGCTCCAACACGACGGACGATCCCCTGCAAAAGCTAGACCCCAAGCTTCGCGAATACCTCGAGAAGGAGTCGCCCGTCAGATACCCAACAACAGCAGAGCAGCAGCAGCAACAACAACAATCACAGTCGCCGTCGCCGTACCCACAAAAGACCGAACATGGTCAGCAACAACCGCACGAGTCTGCCGTACCCAAGGAGTCGCAATTCCAAGATGGTCGCTATGCGCACCTGTGGAAGAACTACCGCCCCCTTGCCGAGATCGAGGCCGAGACCAAGAGCGACCAGGAAAAGATCATGGACGTTCTAGAGGGCTACAAGGAGCGCAAGAGTCAGATTGGCAAGGCGGCGCTGGAGAACTGCGCGCTGGAGCAGGTCGACTGGCGGTCCTGCATGAGCAACCCCAACTTCACGGAGCGGTTCACCATGTGTCGCGCGCAAATCAAAAAGTTTGAGAGGTGTTACAATATGCAAACGGTAGGTTTCACGGGCAGCAATCGTTGGGTGTGTATGCGTGATGCTGACAATCCTTGTGCAGAGGTTATTAAAATCGCTTGGTTATCTATCCACAGCAGACAGATCGCCCGAGGTCGAAGAGGATATTCAAATGCATGCCGACTCCATGTACCACAAATTTCTGCAGCAAGAAGCCGAGATTGAAGCCGCAAAGACCGAGGGCAGGCCAATACCCAAATTTGAGCCATTGCTGGCCAAGAAACCACTGGTGGGGATCCCAGCTCCCGAGTTCGAGCTTAGCTTGGAACAACAGCAACTGCTCAAGACAAGATTGGAGAAGGTGGATGAAATAGACAGGCCGGCTGAGGAGCAGGCGTTCCGGGCAGAGTTGCGGGCCAAGGCCGAGCTCGACGGCCGGATCAGGGGCATCTGGAACCAACAGGCTGAGGAGAGGAAAGCACGACAGGAAGCAGGACAGGCTACAACCTGGGACAGAGTCATGAACGTTGTCCGGGGCGATAACGAGAAGAGGTGATATGCATCTTGAACGGGGTTCATACCTCTCGTGTTCTAGTCGATCGCCAACCGAGACAGTTTGTACAACCCATGTACTAGTAGCTCATGAGCAGTGTGCCTACTTGCTCACAGGACACCGTTTGCACCACGGTGAATAGTAATGATGGATGGGAGCTTGGTCCGGACGAGCGGTGCCTTCATTACGTTGCTCGATGATGTGGCTTCAGTCTTCGCCACTCACACCAAACTTTGTCTCTGGGCCATAGCGAAGCCGCCTTTGGATTCATACAGAGGGTTACGACTAGCAAGCTACGTATTCAGACTGAGGTTGAGAAACGCGATGTCAATACTTTGGTTTTCGATATGGCATGAAAATCATCAGGCCAAGAATATTTGTACAGGAAGACCACAATACGTCTAGCACATTCAAAGTCATGCATCCAATACTTGCATTTCAGCGAAATTGTGACGACAACAACAAAGTTCTTGTTCATTTTGGCACGTCACACTATCTAATCTTTTGCACCTGTCAGAAACGTGCCTTAAGTGACCAATCATAATGATTATCTGCACGAAAAACACGAGTAATTGAACCACATTCTATAACCGGCTACTATCATCCGACATAACGTTTTCCAGGTTTTGCCGCATTCTGCTGCATCTAGAACCACGATCGCACGCACACATATAAGTCTTGGGAATGGTCCGTGTGGCAGCCAAGAGGTCAGGATGGGGGAGGAGGTAATTGGGAACAGCGTTCGTTGGATGCACATGTGGCTATCTGAGGTGCGTAAGGTGAGAGGCTGGAGGAGAGGTATGCAATCGACAACGTCTCTTTTGGGGTGGGGAAGAGTAGAGAAGGACAAAAAAAAGAAAGGCTATGATTCTGCCAATCAGTGCAAAGGGTGGAAAGAAACAAAATTATATCTGAAACACTCGCTGCATATATGGAGTGCCACGCGACATTGAGCTATGCCTCTCCATGCATGGCAGGCATGGTCTCAGGGAAAACCCCCTCTTTTGTTCTTATATTTTACAGTTGATCTGTATAGTCACAGGCAATACTTGCCATCGCGCCATGTGGCGATAGATCAAGAAGAGAAAACCAGCCCAAGCATTCAAAGTGTTGAGTAAATCAAGATGAAATTAAAAAGTAAGAGCATTTGGATAGTTTGTTGTTGTTGTTGTTGTTCATAATCATCGGCTATTCTTGACTATAGTCTACCATCAAGTCCAAGTGCAGACCAATCATCAGGCGCAGATTAATTAAAGGGACGACTTTCTCAGCTTGCGTATGTGCGAGTCCAAATTCCCAACAAAAAAAAAAAAACGCAATGCCATATTGAAATGCAGGGGGACATGTCACTAGTCAAATACAATACGAGGGCGGTTCATAATCTGACACAGAGATTCAGGCTTCAAAGTGCCCTCAGACCTCTTCTTTGCCGATCTGCACGTCGCCCGATTGTACTTAGTTTCCCTCACTCTCACTCAGCGGCCCATGCAGAGTGTGCACATCCCGTCTGCGACGAGTTTACCACATTCGAGGGGGCCCTGACTGAATGCGTCTTGGCCACCTGGGTACCTTGCAAGGTTGTCCTCAGTCTGGTTGCTGCTGTGCCTGGGGGTGACTGTTTTTTTGCACACACACATATTCTCTGATTGCCACGGCACGCATTGAAACGATTTCATCGTTTCATTGCCGGCTGAGCTTGTTATCTGGCCATTCTCTTAATCCTTCAATGTCAATTCTTCAGAGATGACATTTAATCTTATTTTTTGCATCCCGGCAGATCCTTGAATGAGCTCCATGAACCTCGATGCTGGATATTAGCTCTGCTGCTTTGCTCTTGCTATAGTAGCAAAGAGGTGGAGAACCAAGAACGCGACTTTCCATCCTTGAATCCTGGGGATCTTACAAATCTGCCAACACCAGCGAGATCCGGGATCAATATCGCCACATAGTCTGGGGACTTGGTAACTAACTCCTTCGTACTCCCCACAGTACCAGAATTATACTGACCGCGATTAGCTGAGCCCCATTGCAACAAAGCTCACAAGTCTGGAGAGGAAAGAGTTTCGCAAAGATGATGCTGCACACAGCTCGCCCGCAGACAGTGGGCCGGGACCACCCAGAGGATGGGACGAAACCCCCTCCGGTGCCAAACTATCACATGGTCATCCACCCAGAAGCACACACGAGGAGGCAGAAGAGAAAGGGAAACGGAAACTCAAAATGGTGGACAGAAATGTTTTCGTGCCTCAACTGCGCGGGCTGATATTCAATTTACCAATGTGCTGAAAGCTTTACCACCAAATGGAGTGATCACATACTACCAACTATTCTGGAGACGAGCGACGAGCGCATCGGCCTAGATTGCTGGAGGAAACGCTTTTGCGTTCGCCCAGCTTTGCAATTTGCGAGTCTAGCCGATGCGTATCATATTTGCATCGACTTCTCGCGCTACACGACTTCTGCTTAATGGAGAAGCGAAACAAAAACAGGTGCTGTTGAGATGACCGGAAGTCAAAGGGCTTTTGTACTATTGAATTGATCTGGCGTTGGGTTTAGGGTTTACATATATCATGTACGGGGGCAATCGGAACTTGAGCGAGGCGTCGCGGCACCATACAGCAAAGGGGCCGACTTGGAAATTAAATGTTTACAGCGCCCGACTTTTCATACCAATGTTAATAGATTGTGAAGCGATAATAAATGGCTGTTTAGGCTTCATCGCATCACGAGCAAGACTCTTCAAATCAGCCTTCTACCTCCATGGGGATGTGCGACGACGACGACGGACCGGAAGTTGCAGTGGCAGGCAGGCAGAGCAGTCCTCATCTGTACCCAGGCTGCACGAATTTTCTAGAAAAATGTATTAATTTTGATATTGAACCTTCCAGGCTAGTTAAATGAGTAGATTATGACCAAAGCAACAATAAACCCCCTGACCTGGTACTCATAATGTTTGACTTGACATGCTCAAATGATCGATGAAATACAAAGATAGAATCTGTCCTGCGCTCCATTCAGACCTTACCACTCGATGGGTGTAGACTCGATAGGCTTGTCAAAGAAGGACGGCAAGGTCGATTTGGACACCTTTTCGCTCTGAAACAGAGGGTGCTCATCATACGCCAGAAATCCGGTCCCATCATAGCATCCAACGTACTCGGCATCAATTTCGTCGGCTTTCAGGATGCCCAAGTCGACCCAGAGCAGCAGATCACCACCCTCCATCTGTCCGCCCGGCCCGTACTCGGTCATGAACTCGCGCCGCAGCTTGACGTGCACCTTGTCGTGTCGCCCAATGTGTTCCATGTAGGAGAGGTCCAGCCAGAATAGGACCTGGGCCTGACGAATGTAGTCAAGCCCGGGGAAAAGGGAGTGGCCGTTTGGAGCAGCACCGGCAGAAGCGTCAGACACTCCATTGCCATTGACTGCCACAGCACCATTGGAAGAAACTCCTAGGTGCTTCTCCCCCTCAAAGGCATGACACGCCCTCGCCGACAACATGCCCTTGTCCGGCCCGGTCGTGACCACCGTGGTCACCCACTGCTTGGCGAGGCCATCAAAGTGCTTATTCCAAAACTCCTTCTCCCGCTCAAACATGGCGCTATAGTCCTGCCCTTCCACCACGAAGCAAATATTGTCGGGAAACTTGGCCATCCTCACCCGGCCAGACCGGATCTGCTTGCTGAGCGGCCGTCCTTGCATGTCTCCCGGCGACGCCGGAGACTGAAACTTGTCGTCGGGGCCGTCGGGCGTCATGCGCGACCGGTAGGCTCCCCAGTAGCCGCTCTTGGAGGTCAGGGGAATGTGCTCGCCGCAGTGGCCAAAGCCCGAGGGCTGGGGCTTGTTGGACTCGTACATGGACCGCGTGGCGGGCAGACTAATCGTCTCGCGCCAAAAGCCGGCATCGTCGGGCAACCCGCCCCAAAAGCTCGACGTCTCGGGGCTCTCCCACCAGGTCTTGAAGGCTTGTGGCGACGGCCAGTAGCTCATCCAGATCTTAGAGGGCAGGTCATTCTGCTCTAGCTCTTCCACGTGGATGGCTGCTGGCTTGATGAGGCTGTTGAACTGTTGTATAGCGTCTTGCTTTGCAGCGTCTGGTCTCTCGGCTTGGTACTGACAGCCAAAGATGGAGACGGTAAAGTGGTGGGAGGTAGGGAAGCGTGCGCGAAGCATATTTATCTGCAGATGTAAAGCCTTGCGGATGAATATGGTGTCTTGATATGAACAACAAAACCAAACACTGATGTAAAACAATGTGAATATCGAGGCGAAGGCGTATGTATAAACAAAGAAGGGAAAGTTGATCAAGAATCAGATGGCGGGCTGCACATTTCCATGCCAGTATTTATCATTGAAGACCAACAAGTTCAGTACAGCCTCGTTATGTGGAGTGTTGCATTCCCCTCGAATTGCTGCACTCTCATGTGGCACAGTACCCCAAATACGCCATTGTGGCTCCTCTTAATTCCGCATATCGGGATCGTCGGAGAGTCCTAGTTTGGTCTTGTGTTCTCTCTCTCTTCTTGGGTGTTATCTAAGAGACCTGTTAAGCGGGAATTGCCTGTCGATTACCGGCGTCACCTCAGATGCCCGTAGTCAACAATGCTCAAGACATGTCCAAATGCCTTATCATTGTCCCGGAGTAGTCACATTTGAAGGATTGACAAACTAAGAGTATACCAACTTGCTAGTCGACAATCAATGTCTGGGGATACCCACTAAGAGGGTGCCCCGGGTAAGGACTATCCTATCCGCGAGGTCGCCTTTTGGTCATAATTCTCTTGATCGCGATTGGGTGCTTCGGTTTGCTGGAGCGGACCTGCTACGCCCGCAAGTCTATCCCGCGGCTAACGACATGCATTTCATTGGAGCCAAGAGTATTATCGCAGCGCTTGACCCGCTATTTTGGGGTAGTGAACATGTTAGCCAAGGACAACCTACTGTGGTTGCAGGCGTCTGGCGTTAATAAAATACCCCTGGTCAAGTACCAGATCTGATGGGGCGCCCACTGGACAGCTGCCAAAGCACGCACAAGACGTGCACAAGACCTGTACAAGTAGCTCCGAAATACTTACCGGGGATGTTTTACTTACCCATCATACCACAGTAGGTTTATAGACTATCGCCAAAGTCCCGGTGAATTACGCCTCAGTTGCCAGTAGTGGCTTTGCCAAGTCCCGATATCCGGCTCCTTGCGGAAGTTAAGAGACCACCACACAAGATATGAAAGAGTTATAGTCGGACCTGGCTCAAGCATTATGGATTGTACAAACTCAAACATTCAAGAAGCTTGCCTACTAGAAATAGTTGAGAGTCTTCCCACAAATCGGTGGTAGTTACCAAGCACTGGTGTCAATGAGTCAAGATAAGTAGAGTGTCTAGTCAGCAAAAGAACTTTATCTTTCTGAGAGCGCTCGGAATAAAAATTCCAGGCTGGCAACTGATCCATATGGTCCAATTGCTCGATAAGTTATTACAGATGATTGTGGCTCATCTAAGTCACGTTTGAAGAAAATTATTTCGACACAGGGACTTTACTTTCCTGAAAGAGTTATGTTTCTCTAACACCGATGGTTCCTACGTCAGCATTGATTTGTGCACTCTTGGCACCAACCTCGTGACGGTTCTCTCATTTTTATGCTGACAAAATAGTAGCATGGGCATGAATCCTGCCAATTATTCGAGAATAGTCGCCATATAGACATTAGCGGCAAGACATAATAAACAGTATCGCATATAACCTCTAGCATAGGCGGCCTCAACTTGGCGTAGCTCATATGCAACCATTAATGATGAATTTGATAGTGTAGCCGATCGAATCAGCGTACAAGTCATTGAAAAGCCCAGATTTCGTCTCGCTCCGTGATCTATTTCGGGGCGAATTCCACGGTCGGACGGCGTAATGAACGTCGTGTCTTTTGATGCCCATAGCAACAATATGCATGTGAGATTGATCCCCTACCACCAAGCATTATAGACCATTTGATGACCTGTCGAGAGATTGACGATTTTCGATTTTCATCGGCTTTCTTTCATGAGAGCATATATTGAAATGGTGAGAGATCCCAATGACTGCTGATGCACAGTGGTACATGCACATTCCCTACTTGCCAGAAGTGATGTATCTCGAATGAGCCAGGCCTGCATAGGTAGAGGTTTGATTCTGACATATTCTGCCGTCTCTAATTGGGTTCATCATTGTATATTATCAAGTCACGGTGGATCCAAGTATATCTTATGCAAAATTCGAGACACTGGTCGTGAGTTTGGAGAAATTCGTTCTCATCTACCTTGATGGCTTACAAGAAACTTGCTAAAAGACTAGCAGTGCAGTTGGCGTGGTACAGTCGAATCTAGAGTCTCATAGGTACATACCAAGCATGTCGGAATGATGGACTCGAAGTTACCCAAGAAACAAGCATAGCATTTCCATAGTTTCAAGAACTCGGAGCAGAATATGCGCGACGATGGCCAGAGTTAATCTCGCCAATATCTAGATTGATAATTATGGTCCATTATAAAGTCTGATATTGTTGGGCAGAGAAGACATGCTCAGTCACATTTGCATGCTCGGATATCAATTTTTTTTTTTTGGACTCACCCCTCTGTATGCACGGACGGGCGAATAATCACCAATGATCGATCCATTGCAGTGTATGAGCAAAGCGACGCAAAATACCCTAACCTTGTCCAAGTCTATCGCAGACGTCAATTCGCAAAGGGGGGTCTCTTGGTGCGATTCAGCGTTGGTGGGTAAAGTCATCAAACGGTTTCGAGTAGGACGGCCACCAAGATCAACGGTGTGGATCAAATGCATCCATAAAATGCGCGCTTACCGTCCGCCAGAGGCGTTCCTGCGCCCAGTTGACTTTCGACCTCGCCTTTCCCCAGGTGACTGATGCGCAAATGTCAAGGCGCGTCAGGTGATTAAATGGAAATGCGTCGGCCTCCCGGAACGTCTTTTGCGGAATCCTCTACGCATACATTGGAATTCTGTTGGCGAGAAGAAGAATGGAGGTTTTGGAGCTAAAATGTTCAGAGAGACGTTGACGGTTGGTGTCGGGGGAGCTCTCTCCTCAGTTAGCGGTGATGGAGGGGTGTTCTCGATGCGGGCGCGCTGGGCACTGCACCATTTGGTTTTCGCAGTGCGTCCTCAAGGAAAGTTCTCTTGCATTTGCAGCCAATGCGACAGGGAATCCCGTTGCAAAGCAGCTGCAGGGCAAGACACATGGATGATGCGATAATCCATGAAATTGATTCAAGAGATAAAGAGGAACGGGCTGAGCTCGTAGGATTGAACGTTGAAAACAGCTACTACTGATCGGCCCTGCTGCCAAGCCGGAAACCAGATCGCCAAGACGGCCTTGGCTCAGCACGTCAGAAATGCTTAAATCGACATTTCGCGGAACGGAGGAAGATCCAACGGCCGAGTTACACTATAAGTCCTGTGTAGCTCCAATCATCAAGTATTATATCAATTGAAGAGTCCAAGTAATTCCATCGATTGCAAAGAGTCTGCTTGACTAGTAACTCACCTGTGTTCAACCGGGGATGGGCAGCACAGGCACTTTCGGACAGAGGGGAAAAAAGACACGGGAGATTGATGGTTGCGCAACGTGGTGGGAATCATTTCATTTAATTGATATCGCTGTACGTAACGCGCCTATAGCTAGGCCTTTCTTGAAGTTTCATCTTTCCCTTCAGATCATTTCATCTCCACCATCGTGGCTCCTGTCTGCCTCTCCCTTTCTCTGAGTCTTGATCAAAAGCTGAATCCGCTTGGTCTGTCGTAACGTGGTGGAAAAGGGAATATTTGTTTTATTGATTAAGGCGCTTAGCAGCAACCCTCCTGGCAGGCGCAGAGACCGCAGCAGATCTCGCAGCCGGCCTCCTCACCACCGCGGAGTTCCATGTCGGGCTGGGGCTCCATGGGCTAATTGTGAATATTGTTAGTTCCCAGTGTTCCATCGAATAACAAGCTGCATGGGACAAGAAGATAAAAACAGAGAAGGAACCTACGGGAGGCTGGCTGACAACGCCGGGGCCACCAGGGCCGGGACCCATCTCCATGGGAGGCTGTTGCTGGAAGTCGGGGCCAGGCATCTTGAATTGGTGAAGTGTGGTGTTTGGGTGGTTGGTGGTGGTGATTGAATGTGTTAAGGTTGTCTGACAGGTGGACAAGCTCGCGAAAAGAGATGGGGGAGGGGGGAGATTTAAAAAGAAGAGCCAACAGGAAGCGGGTAGGCCACTCTTAAATTGGTGCAGGGAACTGCGGTAGAACTGGAGCAGACAAGCAGAAAGAGGGATCCCTTCTCCTCTCACCTAGGTACTTAATGTACTTGGACTAATAAATTGAAGGAGGAGAGAGCGGCGGCGGCCTTGGTCAGAGAATCAAGGACTCAGCCCATCTACAAAGTACACACACACCTCCCCCGGGCCCATCAAGCATAGAATGGGCTGGTGGGCATGGACCCTTACCCTTCTTTTGAGACGCCAACACACATAGCCATACATGCAGACAGACCAGACCGCCGATATGAGATCAGATCCTTGGGACCCGGGACCTCCTGTGGCCAATGAGTTCATACTCGAAGGGTCTAGCTCTCGCTGCCATCCCAAACCTTGATTGCAGTGCTGACTGTGATAACATCACTTGCCGGGGGGCGCCAATGCAAAGTATGGGGAGGGACAATGGATATGATGGCTAGATTTGGTTGGATCATAGGATGTAACCTTGTAAGCCTTGAAACGCAGCGGAATAGAGCACATTCATCAGATGGCTAACGGGATTGGGCGGTCTAGGTAGGTAGGTAGGTAGTGTAGAGAACTGGCAGTAGGTACATCAAGGTAAACGCCCTTTTGGTACAATATGGACTGCTAACAGTTACAAACAACTCACTGGTACCTACGTATGTGCGATGCGTGAACCCCCCATTTGCGCACCGGGGATCAATCGGATGACAGGTCACAGCAGAACATGGGTGGCGCGACTAGATAACGGTAATAATCATCTGCATGATGGTGGTCCTGGCAGGAAAAGCTGTCAAGCGCCTTCAGTTGTCGTGGATCGTCTGGAGCCAATCCAACTCGGGTATTCCGTGGAATGATGTGTTCAACTGAGGATCATTTCAACCCAGTATCCAAAAACTTGTGACTGCGCCTCGATGCGGGCGGAGATTCTCGGTAGGTGGTTGCCGTTCATGATGGGCTCAACTGTCGAATCAATTGGAAATGCGGACGGAAATCCGGCATCTCAAGCGCGGCCAGCGAGGCGCAAGTAGTAAAAAATACCACTGCGCCAAAACAACCAGACTGTCATGGGCCAGGTACAAGAGAGTTTAGCGGGAGAAAAAAAAAACCACAGACAGAGCTCCAGGGCATTACTAGGTAATATAAGCGTGCGGGACCCAATATCAAAGAGACTCCAGCCAGGCGATGGAGGGATACAAGAAAAGTTTGGGATCTCAATTACCGGCGTAACAGAGAAAACCAAATAGACGTATTCACCAATTGATTGTCCAACTCCCATTCAAAAATGCCTCTGTTCTTGTGACGTTGCTTGCTAACAAGCAAGTTTTGAAGTTGCATCGGCTATTACCTAAATGATGCACAACTCCCCAATCGAGTCAGCGCATGCATATCAATGATCTCTTCCTAGGCGCATCGACCTGACTGACACGCTGACTGGATGGGGCCTTTGGGAAAGCAAGGGACTACTACTGGAAAGCTTGGACGGCTTCGTAACGCGATGGCGCGTTCTTAAAACGACTCGGGTGGATCTTAAGCTTTGGCCTACCCAGCTTTGGGCCCTGGATATCGAATGGGTTCTGAACTCATCTCCCGACTGCCGAAGGCCAGACACTCCGCGTACCCGAAATAGCCCTGAATACGGGTACCTACACCAGCCCGACTCCATACTAGGTATACTACATGCTGTCATAGGCAGCTTCTTCGTAACTCATATCCGTCATTATGGTTATATTTACACAGACCCTGCGGCTCCATCTCATGTAAGGGCCGTCCCGGCCTTGATTTGGGCAAGGGCGACGTGGAGAGAAGGCATCGTACTGTGCAATGCATCGATACTCGCATCGGCCATAGACAGCTAGGGTCGATAACTGCCCCATGTGGCTGCATAGCTTGGCTAAGCCATCTGACGACGCAACAGTCGGACAATGCCTCCATTTCGCGGGCAATGCATCGGCATCAATATATGATGATCCACGTTTGGTGGGATGCACCAGAAACAAGTGCATCATCTAGCTTCCAGGGCAGCAGCCGCACGCTCCAGAAACATGTTGAACTCTTGAATCAGCTTCAGATTGCCGACACCTGATTCAGTTGCGACCTGACCAGCAACTCGCGATACAATCAATTCGAGATTGGCCAGCTCGGCCGTCTTCTGTTCTCGGGGCCCTAAATCAGGAGCCTGCCGGCCGTTATCGATGACCAGCTCAATATCATGCATGGTGGCGGAAAGATTGAGTTGGTCCTGGTAGCGGCGTGAGCTTTTCTTTCTCTGCACATTCAAGAGATTATGAGACTTACCAGGGACTGTTTGCTTTCCTTTTCATGTCGAACTCGAACGGCATCTATCTTCAATGCCACCTGCTCCTTCTCTGCACGGATGCGGATGATTTCGTTTCTGAGGGTAAGCTTCTCCTTTTGGATCGACCGTACACGCTTTTTCAAGGCGTGCAGAGTGTCTAGAGCAATAGTATGCTCCAGTAACCGGGTCCCCAGCTCTTGTTGGAATGCCTCGAGTGCTCGTAGTTTTGTCCTATATTCTTTTCTTGTGGCCGCATCCACCGTATTATTGGCCGCCTCGTGCAGGATTGCCAAGTTTGTATCAATGACATCCTCACAAATTTGCGCCAGTACATCAATGACATTGACGCCGCTGCGATTCGCAAATGGTATGTCCGCACTGAGAATATCGGCATCCGTGTCGCTTTCATTATGTTGTGAACGCTGTGTATACCTCTGTACAGCAATGGGCACTTGTTCGTCTGCCCCACTGTGTCTCTTCCTACTCGGTTTCTCCTTTGGCTTTTGCTTCTGTTTCTCGCTGTTGAATTTTCTGCCAACTGCTGCCTTCGGCTGTGATTGCACCGCTGGGCTTTGTTGTGCTCGCTTCTGTCGTTGACGCTTTGGCGGCGGACTAGGTTCGTCCCGCTGAGCATCGAGTTCTGGTGACTCCTCTCTGGGCGGGCTGGTACGGGGACGCTTGCGGCCAATCACACGCGCGGCTTCCTCAGCCTCGATCTGTTCAGCACCGTCTTCCTCTACTGATGCGTCTTTTCCTGCTTCTTCAATTGAAGCCGCCTCATCCTTGCGTGTCGCCAAGTCTGGACTAGGCTGTTTGCTCTTCTTTGCTCTCGTCTTTGCCTGCGCCCTGCGCCGACTCTCTACAAGTGGAACTGGCGAGGATAACTCATCATGTTCAGTCTGAATCGGGGCCGTTGTGGTTCGGCGAGTCGAGCTCTGATTAGACCGAGCAGAACTGCTGCTCATAGTGTTGTCATTATTTCTTGACTGGGCCGGGAGCGGTGATAACTCATCCACCTCGGCAGCACCAAATGACTGAGCCAATGCGCTCGGTCTTGTCGTCCGCCGAGATCTGGCAGAGGCTGCGCTTGGCGTAACACCACTCATTCGTGTTTTACGTGCCAATGGTGAAGAAGCCCCAGGCTCGCTAGAAAAGGCCGTTTCCTGGTCAATGACCATTCTCTGTAGCTCTGCGCTTTGAGTGACGACATTGCTCATCCTCACTCGTCTTCTATGCCCACTGCCAGGAGCACCGACTGGACTCTCTGTGACCTCTTCGGAGACGTGAGCTCCAGCAGATATCCTGGAGGACATCGAGTCTCTAGAGCCAGGCCGTGCCACTTGCTTGGGCAATTCTTCAACGCTGTTCCCTTCATTTTCGTCTTCGTTTTCTTGGTTTTGGAACACTGTTATTGGTGAAGGATCTGTCTGTCCGAGCTGTGGCGACGAGCCAGCAACGGGCTCTTCCTCAACGGGCTCTTCCTCAAGTTCCGCTGTTGATTCTTGCGCTGGTTCCCCTGCATCTTCTTCCTCTTCACGCGATTGGTCCTGCGGTATTTCGTAGGGATTAATGTTCAAAGCGCCGGTCCGATCCTGCAACTGAAGCAGCTCCTCCTCTGGGACGGGCTCGGGATCTGGGATAGCAGCTGCGTCGTCAACTGCGCGTCTCTTAGCAGACGTATTCGACGCGGAGCGGATTGCAGAAGGCGGGGCGGACGGCTGCGATGGTGAAGACTCGGACTCGGCGGCTTCAGAGGACTCCTCGGCGGGCATGACAAAACCAAAGGATTCATCTGCGACTTCATGACGGCCGGCCCCACGCATGCGTTCGAGCATGCGCTCTCCGCGATCTGGCGGGTGTTAGCCAACTTTGGATCTTTTGATGGATCCGACGATTTATTTCCTTACTTGTGGCCATGTTTGAAGAAATCTATGGGCCGACTCATTGATTGTTTCGTCAAATTACTATCATCAGCCTCGCATCGAGGACATCTTCAGCATTGCTCATTAAAGTATCGAGACGCGTCGAGTTACGCGACTGCGCAGTGGTTGTTGTGGCTGCTTCATCTAAGGCACAGGTACACTAAAAGCGCTGGCTGCGCCACAGATTGGTGGAGGGGGCGGGGTGAGAAGTGGCCTGGCCGTGCAGCAGTAACAATCAAGGTGTAGTACATACAACATGTACTTTGTCCAAAACAGAGAGTAACCCCACGCACAATATCTCCTTCAAGGTCCACGAGTCTGGTTGTTCCTGCATTTACAACTCTATTTTTAAGCAGTCTAAATTTTATACTTTCATCTCTACTATTTTTGGTCATTACACATGCCATGGGATGACTTCAAGAATTGCTGTTTCAAAGACCAGGACGCAACGAGGGACTAGCCGGAGCGGCTCAAGATGCCGAGAACCAACGACCTTTTGATCGGTCAAATGTCCAGACATCAATCATGAACCGCCCCAGTTGAGCTCACCACCTGAGGCGCTACCAGAGTATGAACGTTTGTCATGGCGCCGCGCTGAATCCTTCCCATCTCACGCTGACCGCCGAGAATGGAGGATTCTTGTCCGGCCTCCAACCAATATGCTCGTGATGCCCAGCTCCCAGATCAGCACGCCTGACTCTCCCCGCTGGAAAGAGTCGAGCACAGCGTCATTCTTACCCCGCAATGTCCCTTGGCGGGGTGATCCTCGTGCCACAAAACGACACTGCAGAGTGCGTCTACGCCGTCTTTTGCCTGGATCCGGTGCGATCAGATCCCTGCGAATGTGCTCTTCAAGCCTCCCAGGATGCCAGGGAAAACAGGGCGCGGGGCTCCAGGGCTGTTGGTTAGCCCGTCTGAGGCACAGGAGCTGTGTGCGACGCATGGAAATCTCCGCAAGACGTCCTGTCATCCCGATCTTTTCTACCAACTACTTGACTCATGCATTTCCCGTTTGCATTTTGCTGTTCCTGCATTTCCGCCTTTCTTCCCGGAACTCTATCTTCGATGAGGCTCTCCAATATATGTCGTGATCCGTCGCATTGCTTGGGTTTCCCTGTGTAGACTCTTTCCGTCTAGACATGTCATAGCGGTCGTCATCTTTGAGTGCTGAAGTTTCATAAGCATTTTTAGAGGCCTATATCATCTTCCTGGTCATCGTTCCCTTGGAGCATGCTCTGAAAGTTCTTTTCTATAAACGTCGCAATGTTTTTGTGTAGGGGCTTCTCGTCCCTCGGTCTTGCGGCTGCGTCATTGCTTTTCTATACTCTACTTCCTCTTGGTGCTAGCGCCGTCATACGGGAGGCAGAATGCACAGTTTCTTCGATAGAAGGCCGTTCTTGCACCCAATCGACTCCCCAAGGCTTCATCCCAGAAAATGTCGCAGAAAGGACATGGAGAAAGACATTCCCTGAGCCGGACTTGGATGTCCTCTCGGAACTTCTCGACAGCATAGGTGTGATGCAGGATGACTATTTTGCTCCATGGCTAGGGACGTGGCCCACTTCCATAGACTGGACAGGTGCAGTTATGGGAACACATGTCTCAGGGACCTTGCGAAGCTTCACGGCTGCTCTGGACGCTGTGCGATCAAGCGGCGATCCAGTGGAGGACTGGAAGCTGAAAGAGAACCTGATTGAGAATTACTTTACTCAGGTGGTCTCCTACTACTTTGGAGAGAATGACTTTGAGATCAGGATGGAAGCATACGATGATATACTCTGGGTCGTCTTGGGCTGGCTCGAGGCGGTCCGCTTCGTCAGGGAACACACTGCGCTTCACTACCAACTAGAAACTCAGCGAAAGGGCTTGGATAGCCAAAGCACGGGAAGCGTTGGCGAAATCCTACGGAACCAGACCTGGCACGGCAACCTGTGGATTCCTGCCTTTTCCCACCGAGCAAGAGTATTTTGGGATCTGGCCGCCAAGGGCTGGGATACCGAATTATGTGGCGGCGGTATGACATGGAATCCACGACTTTTGCCCTACAAGAACGCCATCACCAATGAGCTGTTCATTGCTGGGTCTATCTCCATGTATTTGTACTTTCCCGGCGACGACAATACGGCTCCGTTCAGCCAGGCAAGAACCTCAAGGGATGCCCAGGGAACGGAAGCCAGGCAACAGGTCGCGCGCGACCCCAAGTACCTCCAGGCCGCCGTGGACGGGTACAAGTGGCTCGTCAATTCCAACATGACCGATACGCAGGGCCTATTTACAGACGGCTTTCACATTAGCGGGTATGCCAACCCAGCAAGCAACAACACAAAGTGCGACGAGCGTAATGACATGGTCTTTACCTACAACCAAGGCGTAGTCTTGACGGGCCAGCGCGGCCTGTGGGATGCGACTGGCGCGCTGTCGTATCTGCTCGAGGGCCACCTGCTCATCCAAAACGTCATCAACGCCACGGGCTACGACCTGAAGCGCGACCAGCCCCGCGACGACTACAAGACCCTGGCACCCGACACGGTCCCCCAGTGGTATGGCCTGGGTCGCCTGGGCGTTATTGAGGACAACTGCGATGCCAGCGGCACCTGCAGCCAGGACGGCCAGACGTTCAAGGGCATCTTTTTCCATCATCTAACCTACTTCTGCGCGCCGCTGAGCCTGCCCCCGCCGGATCTGGGCCGCGAGGTCGACCACGACGCCTTTGCCGCGGCCCAAAAGTCCCACACCGAGGCCTGCCTGAGCTATGCCGGCTGGCTCCGGTGGAACGCCGAGGCGGCCCTGAACACCCGCGACGCCGCCGGCAAGTTTGGCATGTGGTTCACGGCCGGCCTCTTGACCAACCTGACCAGCGCGGCCTGGCCCACCGTGGCCGATCAGCACGTTGCCGGCGTCGATTACCGCAACTATGGCGTGCCCAACGACACCACGTGGCAGCGCCCCGGCGATATCTTGGACCCCGGCGCCAAGATGCCCGTCGGTATTCCCATTCTCCCCGCGGACGAGTCTCGGCAACAGCCCATTGACGGAGCGGCTGCGCCGAGACAAGCCCTTGGTGTAGACGAAAAGGTCGAGAGGGAATCGTTGGCTGATGATCCCAACAACAGAGGCAGAGGCCGAACAGTGGAGACGCAAGGCAGCGGATTGGCGTTGATCAGGGCGTATTGGAGTATCACACAGTTGCGGGATTGAAGACTTTGATTTTATTGTCTCGGAAGGACTTTTTGCCTAAGAAGGATGCATTTACTCGATTTGATCTAGCCACAGTTTGTTGTTGTGTCTTGATTTTCAGAAATTCATGGTCATGGTGGATAGCAGAGAGAGCCAGGAGCTGCATAGCGAGCATATCCTTCATTTTCGCATCTAGAATGATGAAATGCATACACCAGTTGCATATTACATGGATGAAATCAACTAACGATATTACAACATGCGAAAGGTTAGACCACAATATCTAAGCCGTTCCAGTCAAGCCTAGATATCGCCATACATCGTCTTTGGCATTGCCTATGCATAGGTACACTGGTAATCTCGTGAATTTCTTTTAATTGTTTTCCCTCCTCACGACATCGTCGGGTATATCAAAGAAGTCAGGAAGCCAGATACACCAACGACCCACTCCCCAGATGTATTCATATTCTCGTATCCTAGATCGTACATCATGCAGCCTTTTCCATGCGTGAAAAAAATGAACCCATCCAGCGGCCTCATGCTCGACAAAAGTGAGCAGTGACTGCTTGCCCTCAATTTGATAATCATAGCTTTGAGCTTCTAGTCTCGCCACTCGCTTCCGTTGCTCACTTCGTTGGCGGCACCGGCAGCTCCACGCGAAGACGCAGAAGAGGTGGCGGGTGTGTGTTCATCGTCGTCATCATCGTCCAGGGCCCGGGCGAGCTCATCGGGATCCTGCATCTTGGCGTCGGGGTCTGCGCTAAACTCCTCGTTGCCGCGGCTAGCCTCGTGCTCATGTGTGTCCTCATCGGCGCTGACCGAGATGCCGCGAGCACCCCACTTGGACCTGCGGGCGCCGTTCGAGGCACCGTTGCCATTGCCGCTTCCCAGAGCCGGGGCGCTCTCCTCATCGTCGTGCACAGGGTCGAAGCGCTTGATGCCAAAGATTCTGTCCAGCAGCCAGCCTCGTCTCATATCATCAGCGTCTACAATGCCACCGTTTCGGAGCTTGACGCGCTGGCGGGTGTAGTAGACCCAGGCAAAGTCAATGTAGAATGCCGTCTGGATGACACCAAAGATGACCGAAACGGGGTACGGGGGATCGTTGTGGGCATAGCGCCAGATCCAGTTGGGAATGTACAGGGCGCGGTAGGAACCCAAAGTCAGAATGTAGCCCGAGTTGATGACGGTAGGGACAGTCGTCTGTCGCAGAAGGAGCAGCTGGGGGAGAACGGCAACAGACTCGAGGATCTCGGAGAAGTTCCAGAGCCACTAGAAACGAATAAGTCAGGCATGAGACTTGACACACAAATCCAGAAATGTTTCATCTTACCTTTAAAAAGCCAGCCATCGGTGGTCCTCTGAAAATGAGCGTAGTAAAGGGCGAGAGGACCAGGGCACCAGCCGCTGCGGCACCACCAAGCTTCCAAGCAACCTCTCTTTCCCGCGTCCTGGGGTACTTGTAGCGCATAATGGCAATGATGTAAAACGACGAGAAGATATAAAAGATCATGAAGAAGACATTCCATGTAGAGGTTTCGCTGAAGAGGTTGGTATATCTGGTGCAGAAGACGGCGGCGTAGAGTGCTTGGGTGATCATGGAAACACCTGGAGCGCATTCAATGTTTAGCTTTGGTGCCGAGAACAGCTACGGCACGGTGGGTGCTCGTTGGTGATGCTGGCACTTACCCTCACTACTCCGGTTCTGGTGGATGGCGAAGATGAGAATGCATTTCGATGTGATATGGGAGAGATCTCCCAATATCCTAAACAACTGTTGCGACGAGAGTCAGCTCCTCTTGAGTCCGGCAATCGGATGCACACTACAGGTGACACCTACATTCATATCGGAAGCTCTGTCTCCTGCGAGACCCGGTATTCGTCAGGCAGTTGTTTCCAAGTATAGGTCGAGAAAGAGGACAAAAGTGTCTGAATTGAGCCTTTATCGAGTCCGTCTGGATGGCTCTCGGTTGATATGGATGGGAGCAAAAAGCAGCTGCCTAGCTGTTGTTGTGAAGATAAGGTGTTGGAAAAGTAAAGGCAAGGTAGGTGTGTAGGTGTGTGGTCGGCGGTCGCATTACGTGGACCCTGAGGTTGTTAGGTGATGCAAGCTCCCAGCTCCACGTAGTAGGTCATATGTTAAGGTATCTCCCCTCGGCGCCCACTGAGGGAACCTCCGCCATGGCGCATTGGCTGCATAGAGGTCCGGCTCAGACCTTGCCAAACCTTACCGAGCTTAGTGCGCCCCAGATCTCCCAACGCTGGCGATTTATTTAGCGCACAGAGGGCTCCTCTTTACCTTTGGTGGCTGCTTGCTGTTCTATTTGTTGTTGACTGCCAGCTAATTGGCCAAAAGAGGTATCGATCTCGTCTTGACTTGGCCTCTGCCACCTGATCTTGCAAGGTCTACACGTCGCTTTTCTTGAAATATACGGTGTTGTCTGCATATGATATGCTCTATGATCGGTTCTTTGCCGGGCTTACAGAAGTCCAATACCAGGGATCCTGAGACAGTGGGAACCGACTTCAAGTGCTGGGTCTCCAACAACCTGGTCATCATGTCACCTGCTCATGGATTGTGACCAGTCTGTTATAGGGAACATGAAAAACATCCATCCGGTCAGCCAATCATGAGACGCAGCTGATGTATGCATACTAGACCTATACACAAACCAAAATACCTACCTCTTGAGACGGCAGCAATGTCTCACTACAAAGACAATGCTGCCATGGCTGCCAGTGACTTCAAGGTCTACCATCAATCAAGCAACCGCTTTGACCTTCAGCAAAAACAGTCGAGTAAGTGACCTTTTCACTTTGTATAGGTAAGTAGTCACCAAGAAAAGAGCTCCGTTCGGTGAAAAGTGCTTCTCAATTATTGCTATTCTGACCTTTGGTCATGGTATCGACAAACGAACAAATTGCACGCTGAACGAAAGGGGAGAGTCTCTCGAGAAATCCAATATCGTCAAAAACAAGAACAAAACTTGTGGTTCCTTGTATCCCATGCCTTGTGCCCTTGTTTTGTGACCCAGCCCTTGCCAAATATTCATCTCCAACCTCATAACATCCAGTACCAAGTCGGATCGTCATACACATGGCAGTGATTGCCTTGGTGGTTTTGTCTCGGCACGACTGAATGGGTTCATATCATCGTCAGTCAATTGTGCTTTTGTACACAAATCAAAGTTCGCGCTCCTCGTCGGACGATTCCTCATTCTCAAATTCGGTAGAAGACCAACCAATGGGAAGGTAAAAGAGCCTACCCGTGGCCGTGGACATCTTCCTAGCTTCGAGCAGGTGGACATGTCCCAGCTCGCACTCTACGACGGCGGTTTCGTCATCTTCCAGCTCCAGCTGCTCGTATTCGCCATCATCTTGCATGTCCGTGTCATCTCCCAGCTGCTCCCAGTCATCATCTTCCAGATTATCGCCAAAGAGGTCATCCTCGTCAACCTCGATATCTTCTGGGTTCTGGAAACGGACGTGCTTTCGCGTGGGGAGGTCGTCCTCGGTCTCTGGAGGGGAGGGCTGCTCCTCGGTGATGGGCGAAAGAAGGAGAGTGTCGGAACGAGAAGTTGGTTTCTTTTGAACCTGCCGAGTCGGGGTCTTCTCGCACCGCTTCATGTTTGAACTGGTGGTTCTGTTTTCTCCGTCATTTCTTGGGACCTTCTTTTTCTTGACGTGAACCACGGCTCCGCCGACCGTCTCTTCACCATCAAGCTCGACCGGTTTTGGGCCATTGCTGAGTTGAAATGAGCCCGGAAGGGTGCGTTCGTCTCCGTCTGCCAGGAGACCAAGTAAAGCGGAAAGTGCCTTCTCCATCTCCCTTGTTGATAGACCAGACTCGATTCCCATGGCCCGCATGTATGCCGGGTTGTCCTTGAGCTTTGCCACAACGCGTGAGGACTGAGCATAGCTCCTCGTCTTGTCCACGCGGCTCGTGTTGAGTGTGATGATTAGGCTTTTCTGCGGTCCTTTGCCTGCTTGGATCTTGCCTGTGGGAGGCGCTGTTGTCTTGTCGGGTACAACCTCTTCCACTTGGAGACTGGGGAGAGTATGTCGAAGTTCCAACGGAGTCAGGCGTCGCCACTGCGGTAACTGACAAAGGTTGACTAGAGGTCGCTCGTGCATGGTCATAGGAAACGGGCAAGGTGTAGGACTGTAGGATGGCGGGTCCATGTCGTCCACATCGTGCCAAGCGATACCAGTCATTCTCCTCCAGGTTGCAGACATGAGACTCATCATCTCGTAAAGGGTGGGCGGCTGTGTGGTAGGGTAGCCAAAGTTGATTGCCGCGTGGTCAAACATGGGGATATTGCCAGTACCGCGAGACATCAACCAGTTGAAAATCATCCAGCCTTTCCAGTTGGATTTACTCTCCCCTACGTACTCGCATACTTGCTTGCGGCATTGGAATTCCCTCTCAACACACAGCTTGCAGGGCTTGGAGATGAAGCCGGTCTTGATATGGGTTTGAATAGGCTCTTGGTACTGGACATAGTCAGGGTCCTGGATAAGCGCCTCGGGGATATCCTTACTGAGCCACGCCAGCCATTTCCAGAGGGTGCTATTCGGCTCGAACTCTACATCAGAGACCCAAATGTTGTCGATTTCATCATCTGGAAGTGTGTTGTTCGAAGCATCATCACGTTGTCCACGGATAATGTCAGCTCTCTGCAAGTTCTCTCTTTGGTCAACAAGCAACTCGTCGCACAAATTGCATTTTGGAACCAAGACGGTAAGATATCGATGAGCAGACTCGCCGGCACGCAGCAACCAGGTATTTTGGATGGCAACGGTCAAATTCTCGATCGTGATTTCGCGCTTCATACCAGCAGGGTGGCCATAGTTGTTGGTCAGGGCTTCGAACAGGCGCTCTCTCTTAATTGGACTCATGTGCCGTTCTGTAATATCAAGGTAGGGAGTTCTCTGAGGCCTCTCGTGAACCGCAGACCTTGCGAAGTCGTCGTCATCGTCATCTCTGCTATGCGCAGATCTCTGAGATTTCTTCTTGAGCGCGTCGGTGATTACGCCAGTCCACTCGTGGCAACATTCCGCCAGACACGTCTCACAGACAAAGTCGTGCTTGGGGTTTTCTGTTGGAGGCCACTGGAGATCTGGGCAATGGAAGCGACCAGAAAGTTGAGGAGGATCAGCTGGGTTCCAGCCTGCATCATACTTCAGACGCGAAAGGATGTCCATCAAATGTTGGCATTGCTTGATGACATAGTTTTCTGGTCGGTGCTTTTCATTTTTGTCTGGGCAGGTATCCTCTTCTCGGTGCCTGCAAATAATGCAGCTCTGTCTCTGGATGACACACATCTCTGTATGTGTGCGAGGTACAGGACGGTTCTGTGCTCAATGCGGTCGTAGGGGCATGGGCGAGATCTGGTCAAAAGATGGTCAGCCCTTCACTCGTCAAACCAATATGGGTGAAGAAGCGAAATGCATGCGATTATCGATCAATCTTCTAACTTTCTGCGTGATGATCCATAGCGAATGCAAAGGGCCTCGCGAACGAGGAGTATTGTTGCTGGTAATAAACAGGCGGAGGGGTGGTGCTAGGAGCATTTGATCACCTACAAATGCAAACCACGAGAGGAAATGCAGTGCGACGTTGAGATCGACGGCACAAAGTAGAAGTCGCGGTGATCAACACGAATATCGGCTCGGACCAGAGTTGTGAGAGTTGAGCAAGCACGTCCAAGGGCTGTCATCAATGATATGCAGGATCTTGACCAGTGCCAGTTGGAACTGTATGTGGGCTGGTCAGCTGAGAAGTGCCGTGTGGCTGATGGTTTCGTCGAGGCAATAGTAGTTATCCTTTACGAGTCTGGAGTAGTTGCGAAATTAGCAATCACGAAACCGTTCTCAGCGAAAACGAGATGGACAGGCGGTCAGCGGCAATGGTCCAAGTATTTGATGGAAAGTCAAAGTGAAGATGAAGCAGACGTACCTGATGAAAGCGGAAAGTTATTAGAATGCGATTGTGTCCAAATGCTACACCGGTTTTCTAGACAGACGCGGGATGAGTAAAAGGTAGAGAGGGAAGTGAAGCTGTACGATGTTCTGAGAAGGAGCTGCAACAAATTTATAATGATGGGCGTCCTGAACAATGCGAACAAAAAAAGCTGAGGAGAGAATTTCTGGCAAGCAGTCGCAAAAGCACTGTTTGTTGCCGAGAAATTGGTGAGGGGTCGACAGTTGATTGTCCAAGTTGCCAGAGCGAGGTGTCGATTGTTGTTGTTGGTTGCCCGGTGGTTTTGATACCCAGCGCGTGTTTGAGATGGGCACGAAAATTCTCAATGAGGCAACCGCTGTTGGGTGTCTGTAAATTCGCTGGGGGTGATGGTACGTTGTCCTAGAGATTATCTTGCTGAAAGCGATGCTATTACGAATGAAAGTCTGAGGGTTTCTGAATAGATTGAGATGCCAACTCCTGTTGTGACGGATGTCTGTATCCAGCGACAGGCCTATTGACCTTGGAACATCCACGGCAATGGAGCGAGAATCCTGACGTCGGGTTCAATGGCAACGTCGAGGAGGTCTACGACTACGTCCAAGATTGGGACGCTGACGTCCATCAAGAGAGCAAGACCGATCCAGATGCAGATGGAGCCCTGCCCTGTAATGAACCTGGCGATCCAAATGCAGGCAATGCAGAGCTCTGAGAATAGAATAATATCAGGCCGATCCTCGTCCGCGTCTACCGCTCGAACAATAAATCTATCAATCGCAACGAGTATTGCGAGAATCGTGGTGAAATCCATGTGGCAGATGAGAAGAGGTGAGCATTCAGGTGAGCCAAACAGAGATCCCCTTATGTCAAATAATGAAAGAAGAGCTGCAGCTGCGGATTGAACTTTGGATTGGAAAGATTCGTGGTAGGTGCATCTTGATGGCCAGTCCAAGTCCCAAGTCAGTCAGTGGCCCTCGAGAGATTCTCATCTTAGGGAGGAGCCCTAGGCTCTGTCAGACAAACGGCTCAACACCCTAGAGTCCAACAAGGTAGTCCAAACAGAAAGCTCGAATATGTCTCGAGTACTTTTCCCTGACAGATTGTTTACTGCCCATGTCAAGTACGAGTCAACTACGTCTGAGATACAAGATGTGATCAATATTCAGCAGTTCCCCCCTGGTCACTGCATTCCTATTTTCTTCATAGCTTCCCATTCTGACTTGCATGTCTGCACTCTGAGATGTTTCCTTTTGCCTCGTTCGCAAGGCCCACGTAGGTCTGCAACATCTGATGATACATGTCTCTTTCAGATGATGAATCGCATACTTGGGTTCCACGCTTGGACATGGAAACATTCGAATTGTCACGGTTACTTCAGGTATTCAGTAGTAGATTCCAGATACAAATTGATACCTCAGCACGAGTATGTGTAAAGATAGTAAATTTTCAACATGTTTCTCGGGCATGACTTGAGCAGTAATATTCGCTTTCGTATTCTATTTGCTATTTCACATTTTTACCAATTACCAAATTCAAGTCGATTTATATCTGTCAGAAACAAGGTCTTGGACCACTAAAAATGCTTATAGCGATGTAACGTTGGTAGCAATTGCATAGAGTCTACCTTGACCAATCATGAATGCACATTTCTATCCCTGCTCGAGTACGGACACTGGTTGGTTATACAAAGACAATGATAGAGTAGCCCCGCCGCCTATCGCTGCATATGTATGTTATACGAAGCGAACATGAGCGTCTTGGGTGGCAAGTTCTTGGAAAGGGTCGGAGAATACAAGAATCTTGGTCACCTCTCAGACTTTCCAGAAATTGAACAAATGATGCACGAATCATTTAATTCAACCACAATGTCTCAATCACCAAATAACTCTCAAGGAACCCAATATGTATATTATCACGAAGGCGGCGTACCGGGCAAGCGGCCCATCCTAACGGGATCCGCAGCCAAGCCGACCTTTACAGAACTCCCGCGCATCGACATTTCCCGGGCGTACTCAACCGATCCCGAGGCCCGGCGAGCGCTGGCGGCCGAGGTCAATGACGCCTTTACCAAAGTGGGCTTCTTCTACGCCGTGAACCACGGCATTGACGCCGCGGCCGTGGCCGACATGTTTGCCGCCATGCGCGGCTACTTTGCCCTGCCCGAGGCCGTCAAGATGGAGGCGCACTCGCGCAAGAACCGCAAGTTTCGCGGCTACGAGCCCATGTTTTCGACGCGGCTGGACCCGACCACGCGCGGGGATCTGAAGGAGGGTTTTCTCATGGGCGAGGATGCTCTGGATCCCGAGCAAGACGCCCCTCCGAAAGTGGTGGAGAGGCAAGAGGCCGAGGGTCCCAGGAATCAGTGGCCTTCTTTGCCCGAGGCGGCTTTTTGGAGGCCTGCTGTATACCGTTACCACCGGGTATTGCGGAAATTATCAGAACGGTTGCTCAGGATCTTTTCGTGTAAGTACAATCTGACCTGTCCTAGAAGTATAAATTGTGCTTCCTCCAAGTTACCTTGACCAAGGAAATCCTGGCCCAAGAGCTTTCCAGGAGAATGCTCTTTCAGCACGACTCGACATATCCCAAGAAGAAAGGCTCATTTACTACTTTACAGTGGCCCTAGGTCTCCCTGAAGACCACTTTGATGCCATTACACGATTTCCCCTGACCAACATTCGGGCATTACACTACCCGCCGCAGGAGCGCGACGAAGACGTCGGCATTGGGGCGCACACTGATTTTGTCTTCTTCACGCTGCTCTGCCAGCAGGAGACGGCACTGCCCGCACTCGAGGTGCTCAACGGCAACGGCGTCTGGGTGCCCGCGCACCCGGACCAGAACGCCTTTGTGGTCAATGTGGGCGACTTTCTCAAGTTCTTCACCGGTGGCTTGTGGCAGAGCACTGTGCACCGGGTACGAAATGTCACGGGTGAGGAGAGGTACTCGATCCCGTTCTTTTATAGTCCAGATGAGGACGGTGTTGTGGATGTCTTGGAACGGTTCCGAGAGACGGGCAAGACGTATGAGACTTTTACGGCTGGGGAATACTTTGAAAAGAGATTGCAGATCGATCGCAGGACGGCCGATGATGGGGATGGAAAGGCTGTTACAGCATACTAAGCATCAGTCATCGCAGTAAGCTTGCTGTCAAGAGCTCGATAAGCTGAATCGTATCTCATTCAGGCAACTATCTCTAGAATGTAGAATTCAGACGATACTCGGCCTTGTCGTGCTAATAAGTGCCATGTTAGAAGTAAATGAGTATGTAAATAGGGATCGTGAGCCATATCGATACTATAAAAAATGGTGGCCGAGCATTGTGCTCCAGGCCTCTGGGGATATATTTCCGAGCAATTCTTCGTACACGGCTTCTCCGAGCCTCTTCGGGTGATTCCGAAACTCCGTTGAGCGATGGAAACCATCCACGCACTCCAAGGTCTTTCCCGAGCTGCCCTACCAGCCGGCCTTTTCCGTTGTTGAACCCTGCAAGACTTTATACACGTAAAGTGGTTTGAAGAAAGAAAAATATTACAAGTCACAGCCCTCAGGCAAACCGCCGCTCGAATTCGTCGTACAGCTTGGGGCTGATTTCATCGCTGCTCATGCCTTCGACCTCCCAGAGGACACCCTTCTTGGCATAGTGCTCCAGCAAGGGCTCGCTGGTCTCCTGGAATTTCTTGAAGCGAGCCCGGTAAATTTCCTCGTTATCATCAGAGCGTTGAACCAGACGCTCCCCAGTTATATCGTCGATGCCATGAACCTTGGGCGCATTGAAGGTAGTGTTGTAAACCCTACCAGAGGGCTCGTGAACCCAGCGGGAGGATATCCGCTGCATAATCACATCAAAGGGAGTCTTGAGGGATACGGCCCAGTTGATGGGGACAATGTCATCGAGCTTCTCGGCTTGAGCTGCCGTACGCGGGAAACCGTCGAGCAGGAACGAAGCCGTCGGGTCATCGGACGCGTGCGCAGATAAACTGGCACCGGCCGCGGGATTCCTGTCAATGGCCGAGATGAAAGGGTCTAGGTCCTCGTAGGCCTCGGCAGCTCCAAAGGCCGAGGACGCCAGCGTCATGACGTTGGCGCGCCCGCCCGACAACCAGCCGCGCTGGCCGAGCTCGTTTGTAATCAACCTAAGAATCATGTCGTCGGGGACCAGGCCGCCCGTCTTCATGGTGCTCTCGACCTTGATGCCGAGAGGGGTCCGGTTCTTGACATTGTTGCGGAGAAGGTCGCCCGAGGATATGGCGGTCAGCTGGGGGAAGCGGTCGAGTAAGCGCTCAGACTGTGTGCCCTTGCCTACGCCGGGTGCGCCGACAAGAATCACGCGTGCTGCTCTTCGCAGGCGCATAGTATGAGGTCTGTGGAATATGTGGGTGGCCGGTGTCGAGCGACAGAGGCGGATTTAGCAGAAGAGAGAATTGGAATCTCTCCAGTAATTTGATGTCTGATGGAAATACAAGCGCGAGGCGTCTGGTGTTGTGTGTGATTTCTTTGCTGGGTGGGATATTCGCAGCGTTTCGGGGTCCGTAAAGACCGGACTTTGGGGAGGTAAGGTTGGCGATAATAGGCAGACAGTAGATGGATATGTCAGCCAATGTGGGCGCGGGCGCGCGATTAGGTTATCGGCAGCGCGGGGAATAGGTGGTCCTATTGAGGAAAGCTGCAGGTTCAAAGAACGTTCAGAGCGTCGTGGGGATACAATGGGCAAAGCTCAAAAGTCTGTGCGATGGTTGTATACCTAGTAGTGGTACACGGAATGAATGAAGAATGAGGACAAGAGGAGGGACAAGAGGGAAGAGTAGCAAGTGCTGTAGGTAATAGATAGACAGCAAATGGTGGGGGCTCCAATCTTGAAAGATAAAAAAAAAAGTTAATAAACCAAGAGCACATTCAACGTTCTGATTGCAGCAGCATTTGCATTACCTATCCAGTTGAGTGGTAGGTACCCGTAGTAGGTAAGGGTCTTACACCTTCCCAGCGAAGTTCAGTGGGGTAAGACGCCCTACGTACGCTATTGTGTCCGTCTGTGTGTCTTGGTGGGCTGCGGAGGAGAGAGATTGGCGCTGACCAGACGGTTGGCTCGTCGTCACTGGCTGGACCAAAAGAGCCAAACTGTTGAGGGATTCGCTCGTCATGGACATCGGGCCAGGGGTCGTGGGAGCTAGAGCCAGCATACGGAGCAAGTGTCTAGGATTACCTATGCACTCCACAAACCTGCCAGTGCCAAGTTCCAACCTTGCCAACTCGCCTCCGGCCTTCGGTTCCCGAGCGACGAGTCAACTTCTACAGCAGAGAGAGAGAGAGAGAGGCAGACATTCCCGAGACCCACACCATGTTATACTATTATTTTGTAACACACCTCGGTTTGCTCGGTTTCTTGACTACAAGTCAGCATTTGCCTGAATAGAAGACCTCAGGTACGGAGGATCGTCGTATTGTAATTTCAAATGACTTGCTCAGCCCAAGTGGCAATTAGAGTATAAACTACTGGCTGACATACAGACTACGGAACCCTATGTATAGAATTCATCACCCAAAACCCAAAACTTTCTTCTTTCATCTCAACGGTATGCAGCCGATGGTCAAGCGAGTTTCATGATGGACAGGCTTGCGCGCTCGTTTTGCCCATATTCAGATGCTTCTTTATTCCTCTCGGCCGACAATCATTGTCCTCCTTTTTCCCCGCATTGTCCGCCTGCCTAGGCACAACGGGTACGCTATACCCGGATGACCGTCTTGTGAAGGTGCATGAGAATGTAATGTGCCGACAATTCCCGGCATATACATGTGATGACTAGTTGGAGGGTTGCAACAACACCCACGCAAGTCCACGTCAAAAACTCATGACTCAACGCCAACAGCGCATCAAAGTTGTGCACCCTTTTGCCAGCCAGGCAGATATGAATGGATGCACTCTTTTATTCCTAGACTTATGCAGGTGTTTCCTGTAAGAAAAGGGCCTTGCCCCAATCAAGATGTCTGTATTAGAGGACATACCTACTAAGCTTCAGGATATCGACTATACCCAAAATGTACGCATTCAGATTGATTGTTGTAGGTTTCCATTTATCTCAAATGATACACGCCCTAACCCATCGCTCTTGGTCTTCTATGGCAATGTAAGCATATTGATCGAGGCTGATGCATATCACACATTGCATCCCGCAAGAAGTATAGAAGTCGTGCCATCCCCAGTCTATCGTGGTTCTATTTGGTGACAAGTATTTCAATCGTCGTTGGCCATGTTCCGTGCCATTTAATGACCGCTCTTGCCTCAGGTTGACGACTACGTCTTGCATGTGGACGAAGGGTAGTCATCGAGACAAGGACATTGAAATCCCCCGACAGTACTGCCATCAATACTGATGACGGCCTCGAGTCCCTTTCAAATTTTATACGCCTGCTTATACGTCTAGTATGAAAGTAGGTCAAAGTACACACGAATGCCTTTGCTGTTGCTTGGGGGTGTCATATCGAGCGCGCGTATTGGTATTTCATGAGGGGAATCATCATCGTATTGAAGCAGCCATCTCCCGTGGCTATATGCCCAATATGCTACCATCGCCAATATATATATAGCGACCCTGGTGCTTGCCGTCCGTGACAGCCGAGTTCGTACATGTCTTTTTTTGAAATACACACCCCAGGAGGTTCGTGGTTGGGCTCCTGGGCAATTCTCCCCATATCGTACATAATCTGTTCATTCCCGTCTTCCAACTTTGGCATCTTAGTTACCCATGTTGAAACCGCCAGCACCTTGCTGTGCTTGTTGTTGCATCATCTCGGAAACCTTCATGTGCACGTCGAAGAACTTGGAGGCGCATCTGTCGAGGCAGACGCTCTCGCCCTTGTTGAGCTCGCCCTCGCGGTAGTCGTTGGGAACGCACTTCTTTGCGCAGACTCTCGTCAAGCTGGAATCGTAAAATATTAGCCATGTTTCTCGTGGTGGGTGTCAAGCGGCTCAGTCGTACCGGGTGTGCATCTCAGCCAGCAGCTTCATCTCGGCCTCGACAGCACCAATCTTCTCCTCCGAGGTGGGCTGGGGACGTCCGAAACCGAGAAACGACATTTTGTATGTTTGGGTCTGGGTTGATGTGGGTTCTGTTTGGTATGATATGTCGAAATTGGTGGGTGATGATGAATGCGACTTTGAAATGCTGCAAATTCAATTGCTCCGTCAAAGAAAGTCGAATCCCAAAGCCAAGGTTCTACGCAACATGCATGGATGGGATTTGACGTCAGCTTTCGGCAGGCGGTGAGTCTGTTGGGTGTAGGAAACAGCACCTGGACAAATGCTCGGCCCGCAAAATTTATTGGGCAAGAAAATAAAATTTCCCGAGAACACCAGCCAAAAAGAGCCAATTGATTCGATAGCTCCAAGCTCTAGCTAGCTCAACGCGCAAAAAAAAAGGAAGAAGAGAAGGACGTACTTTTTCCTTCTCTGAGTTCAGCCATGACAGTCGTCGAATTGTAAATCTTTCTTTGTTTTCGTCTGGCTTTAAATGTAAGTTTTATTTTTCTATTCATACCTGCACGGAACTTGATTTCTCTCCAAATGATGATATTGCTTTAGAACCGTTGCGACTGACACCACTTCGGTGGTGCTTGATCACAATTTGCCAGCATATCTGATTACATTTACCCAGCATTGTCTAGCTCCTTGTCCTGCGTGAAGACGAGCCAGAAGCTGACTTGGAACCAGTGTAAAAATGAGCAGCTTGTCGCTCTCGCAAATGTTGCGTCCGTATGCGACCAGGCCCATGACAGCAAAGGGCGCAGTGTATGGCCGGTTCTACACAATCACGCGTAGAAGATGTGCTCGCGAGTATTCCAACGATCCCTCAACTGAGAGGAGTCAAGATGGCGTGAAGAGTAAAAAGACGCGCCCGCCCGAACCCGGTGCAGCCAAAAAGGCAGAAAAGATGGCCAAGCAGCAATGGGAAGAACAAGCTCGTGAAACAGAAAAACGTGTCCAGAAGCTCAAGGAACTCAATGCGCTGGAATGGCCTCGCATCCAGAACCAGACCAACGCCGCGCGCATGAGTATACCCGAATTCCGGAGCAAGTATAGGGACCTTGCTGCCGGAACGTCTGCGGCGGACGAAGTTCAGCTCCGGGGCAGAGTCCTGGCCACCAGAAAACATAGCTCCAAACTGGCCTTCTTGGATATACAAGGGGATTTCCATACGGTCCAGGTCATGCTCGACTTTGGCCACATCCAAGCTGCCTCCGGCACCACTGTAGAGCAATTCAGAGAAAAGCGCTTGACCTTGCTTCGTGGTGACTTTGTCTCAGTAGAAGGTACAGCTAATGTAACTCCACAAGGCGAGCTCACCCTCAAGGTGAACAAGCTGCCCGACCTCTTGAGCCCAAGTATAGCCCCTGTTCCGACCAAACTTGTCGATGAAGAGACAATGGTTCAGAGTCGCCATCTCAGCCTCCTGGTCAACCAACAAGTCTCCAAATCGTTACGCTTCCGCTCAGAACTCATCTGGTGGCTGAGAAATTACCTTGTCAAGCGCAAGTTCTTGGAAGTCCAGACACCGATTCTTGCCGACTACGCAGGTGGCGCCACAGCACGCCCCTTTCTCACGTCGGCCACTGCCTTTTCGCACAGAGACTTGGCTCTGCGAATTGCCCCCGAGCTGTGGCTCAAGCGCATGGTTGTAGGAGGATTTGACCGCATCTTTGAGATCGGACCTTCGTTCCGCAATGAGGGCTTAGATGCGACACACAACCCCGAATTCACCATGTGCGAGTTCTACCAAGCCTATGCCGACTTGACATCTTTGATCGGCCTGACCACGGATCTCGTGAAGAATCTGTCTTCGTGGTCCAGAGAAGTTTTGGAAAAGTCCAAGTCGTTGTCTGGGGAGATTCTCGATCCCGCATATTTCTCGCACTTTGAACAGGTCGAGTTCATCCCAGCACTCGAGGACGCTCTCAAGATCAAGATGCCTGACTTGACTGATGAGAATGCTCTTTCATCTCTTCGTGACGTCCTGCGTACCGAACTTGGCCGCGAAGTTGAGCCGGACGTCTCTCTGAACAAGCTTCTCGACGACCTTGCCAGCGAATATCTCGAGCCCAAGTCAGAGGATAGTCCCCTGTACATTACCCACCACCCATCTTGCATGTCTCCTCTTTCCAAGTCCTTTACATGCCCCAAGACCGGTCAGCTGGTGTCTGCTCGGGCCGAGCTCTTCATCAAGGGACGCGAAATTGCCAACATGTATGAGGAGGAGAATAATCCCTTTGAGCAGCGACGCAAATTCGAGCTGCAGGTTCAGGCGCGCAACGCAAATGATCCAGACGAAGGCGAGGCCGTCGTGGACGAGAGTTACATTCAGGCTCTCGAACATGGCCTGCCCCCGACCGGTGGTTGGGGCTGCGGTATTGACCGGCTCGTCATGCTCTTCTCGGGCGCAACCAGGATCAGCGACACGCTCAGCTTTGGAAGTTTGCGCAATGTCGTTGCTGCCACACAGGTGTCGAAGCGCTCGTAAAATAGCAGTCTGTGGTTGTGGCTGTGTATCAATACCGATGTACATGATGTAAATTAGCGAAACAATTCAAGATACCCTCTGCTTTGCACAATATTTACTTACTTGAAGTCTTCCCGTAAAGGATAATCTGTCGCCATGTCATATGTTCATTAGTCAGTACATGACTTGCTCATGCTTGTACCACGTAGGGTTGGACAACTTACATGCTGGTATCTCGTGTTCTCTCTTCAAGGTCGGCCATTCACGTCTGGACTTGCATTGATATGCTCGTCTCTCGTGTCCCTGTCTTCTAGTTGTGTCCTTTATGGCAAGTATACAACAGAATCACTACTCATCACAATCAGCAACATCACAAGCTAGTCGTATGAAATGCGGCTCTATTATCTGATCCCTAATGCTTCTGACCGAAGGAATGCCGCCTGATAAACGCCTAAAGAACCCCGAATCGGCCTCCATCCCAAGAACGAAACCAAGCCGAAGCTCGAGCCATGCTGAACCGATGAAACATTCTGGGGAGGGTATCATGTGCATGCCGGCCGCTTTTCCTAAACAAAAGAAATCTCAATACAAAGGAGAACGGTGAGAGCCAAATTATGAGTGCTGCAAGGGAATCGATCTGTAAAAGACGCCTTTCTTCTATGTCGTCCCCGTTGGAGCCTGAAACCTCGTCCTGAAAACCTGGAAACGCCGAAAACGATGCGCAAAAGGAAACCTAGTTGTGAAAGAAATGACGGTTCGGATCCCGTGCCTCAGCCGGGCAAGAAACAAAATGAATGAGTATGGCTAACGCCTCCCAAGCACCCTGGTTCATGATCAAACGTGAAGCCAAGAACCAATAACTTTCTTTGCAACCGTGAAAATGATAGCGAGGTGGAATTGCGATCGAGTCCGGGTGAACTGTTGCAGCAATGGACGTGAGTGAATGAGCCGTGAGCAATCAATGTCGCATGTTGAAGCTCTTCTCGAGGTTGAGCATGGTGATGTTTTCATACGGCGCACCAAAGATGAACTCGCCGCGCTCAACGGTACCGCGCCAGTGGTAGGCCTGGCGGCGGTAATCCCAATCATACATGGATTCATTGCCGGTTCTCGGCTTACGCTGCTGACCAGCACGGACTTTGTGGCTCTCGATCATGTTGTCGAGGTCCTTCAGCCGCTGATTCAAGTGCTTCTTTTCTCTGAAGTCGAAGATGGTTGTCATCTGCTGAATGACCTCCTCGCGATCTTTGGCAAGGTCCTCGGCCTCCTGCATGCAAACTTCGGGGGTCATCAGCTGTTCAGTGGTCTTGATGAAGTTCTTGTGGTTCCGAACGGCTTTGTTTGAGTCTCCCATGAGCCAATCAAGGTTGGTGCAGCCTTCAGGGACGCCACGCCACAGAGTTCTTGCGATCTGGTTCTTCAGGATGTGATTGTGACCAATCTCGTAGCCGAGCTGGTTCTGTAGATCACAGCCCTCGCAGATGATGAACTCTGGGCGGTTCTGCTTCGCCTCGTATCGGAAGAGAATCCCCGGTAGTGTTTCATTGCACTGCGTGCATTTGAAGATACCCTCATTGGTGAAGTCTGACCATGTTACTGGCTTAGCCGTGGCGGCGATCATGAGATCGATCGCCACAGTATCGTCGAATTGCTTCGTCAGCTTCTCATGGGAACCTCCATACAATTTTTCCGGGTAGACCTGGAGTGCGTAGATCTTTCTTGTTTCCTCGTTGGAAACATACTTGGCGGCCGCGACGCAGAGGTTATACGTCTGGTTCACTGCCAGCGGAAGTCTGTCAAGCCAACGACGGAATGCCTTTCCGGGCTGCAAAAGCTCAATGTCGGCCTTCTTAGCGGCACGGAACAAGGAGACGAGGCTTGCGCCCAGGGCGTGACCGACATCGGTGCCCCAATTCTGAAAGATCCTAGGATCTGAATGTGTGATGCCGTATGATCCCATTCTCTCGCCCACCGGGCCCTGACGATACTGCGGGGCGATATCGAGGTCCAGCTTGGGTCGACCATTACTTCGGCGCTTCTCGTTGGTTCGTCCAACGGCCTCAATGACGGAACGTACTGTGCTGAGGTCCATCAAGGGACAGCTGTAGATGCACAGGCATTTGAGGTTATCGAGGCTGTTGATAATAGCCTCGACTGTTTGGACGCCCAGAAAGTCCATCTGTACCAACGCCAGGTAGTTGATGTTCTTGCGGTGCTGATGCAATGTAATCACTAAAAATTCATTAGCATAGCTCGGGTAGTAGCAATTGGATTTTTACTCACAAGTCCTCTGCACAGCTCTGCACTGTTTGTGGTAGGTCATCTTCTTCTGCTTATGACCATATGCGTTGACTATGGGAAAGCCACGCTCGTTGAACAGAGTCTCATATGACTGTGGCTCTTCATCGTTGTCTGCCTGAACCTGTGGAGGCCAAAAGACATTGGGATCGCCGTGGTAACCGGATGCCATGATCGTGGGCTTTCGGCACGGGCCGATCACGAGAAACTTGGGTACACGAATGTTGTCGACATCCTCTTGCGTGATCTTTCCACTCTGAATCATTGAGTCGAGTTCTTCAGGGAACTTGTCGCAGAGATTGAAGTTCATTCCGTTCGTGTCGAAGAAGCCCTATTATTGTAAGCCAAGAGTTGCGAAATACATGTTTAGAGTACACTTACCATCATATTGTCAACGTCACGTCGAATAACTTGGCAAGTCCGCGTCAAGTTAGACAACACCTCGGCATGACCGAAGAGTTTCTCCATGATGAGCTCCCTGATATCAGCCTTGTTCCAAATCGATTGGAAGAAGCGGCTTTCCTGTTTAGCCTCCTGCTGAGCGAACGGGACGCCGCTGGCTCTATACATTCCCTAGTCACTCGTGTTAATTACAGTACGCGTCGCGTGAGGATTTGTACAACTTACCGAAGTGACAAGGCCACCGACATGTGGGAATAAGGCGAGGCTTCCAGCTTTCATGTCATCCTCTGTACGAGGAATGTCCACCGCCGCAGAACTATAGTTCCCTACACGGTCGATGCGAGGATTCAAGCGCTGGTTGTACTTGGCGGCTTCATAGGCGCCATTGTCTTCCGAGCGGGCCATGTCGTAATCATAGCCCTTGTCCCAGCGGCAGTAGTACTTGCCATTCTTGGTGTTTGGGTGACACAAGACACCGAACTGAGGGGGTATCTGCTTCACTAGCTCAGCGCCTTCGACAAGTTGGAAACGGTTGCCCTCGAGCTCCGTCTCCTCGTAGTGCTTGTCGAAGGGGTTATAACCTTCGGGCATCTTCTTGAGGGTCTCAATGACACCCCAGTCGTCGAGGCGGTGGAGGGATAGAGCGTGTTGATCGTTAAAATAGCCGTAATCCATCTTGAGCGAATGTCGAGTATCGTGTACTGGTCTAGAGACTAGTGTTTCTGTGGTTCTATTGCAATTGGAACTTCGAGCTGTCTGAGAAGGATCAGAAGCGATCAATGAGAGTTGAATCTGAAGGGCAAGAGCGCAACGAAAGATTAGACTGAGAAGAGAACTCAGTGTTAGTTGCAGACTGGACAAGAGCGTCGCGATGCCACTAAGGGGTTCAATGATCGCACAATTGTGAATTGTAGAAGACAAAAGCCGGAAGAGAATCAGATTGAGATTTGGTAGAGGTAGGAGTATGACGGCCAGAGCTGATGTCCTTGAGTTGTAGTTGGATGATCAAGGTAAGTACAGCTCGGTTGTAGAAGTGGCAGGAATCAGAGTAGGTTGTTTGAGCAAGTGATGCTCTAGTATTTTGGCAGGTTCAATTGTAGGTTGAAAGACCCACGATTCGGCATTGGGAACTTGGGAAAAGAAGGTAAGGTGTAGTTAAAGAGAATGGAAAGGTGGCGCAAATGAGTTGGTCAAGGACGTGGACTTTAAATCAGGCTGGGATAGGTACAAAAGCGGAGGCGAAAGGCAAGTACGAGAAAAGAAGCGATTGAACATGAGATTAGAAAGAACAGAAAAACACTCCCTGACTCACCTTCTTGCTCGGATTGCGAGGTAGTCGAGATGTCGTAAGAACTTGGCGTATGTACGTCGTGCGGATGCCCTAGCACAGCAAGTGAAAGGTTCGAAAGTGTTTGAATCGCTCGACCGAAATGATCTGATTGCAAGGCTGCCTCTTGCTAGTCTTGCTAGTCTTGCGCGTTGACTGTAGAGTATCTCAATGTAAGGAATTGAGGATCAAAGAATAAGATCAAGTATCTGCCCGGTAGCTAGAGTACAAGTTAGGAGGACAGTGCTTGAAATTGAGAGTGATCAGAAGTAGAAAAGGAGCGAGGGCGAGCCTGACCGCTGTGGTGCGAGACAGGATGGCTGAAGGTCGTAACAGGTGAAGACAAACGCAGGAGTGGTGGGTCGCCAGTAATAGAAGAGTTTGCAGGATCTCAATAGAGCAAACTGAGGTTGATGACGCCAGTTGATCGAAGTGCGATGTCTCTGCTAGGACTGGTAAGGGATGACGACTGATGTTGCAAGGGATAGAAGAGCTTGAAGGAGATCGAAGAGGTTGAAAGCAGTTGAAGAGGTTGGAAATGTTGTAGCTGGTAGAAGAATGTGTGGAAGATTGAAAAATCTGAAAGAGTGGAAGAGGCAGGAAGAATGCCTTTTGAACCTCTGTGGGTTCAAATAGCCTTGATCTTTCAAGATGGGCAGGTGCCGTAGCAATTTCGGAAAAGGGGAAGCTACCAGATTGTGTGCTTTCAAGATTGACTGAGAGCTCAGGAGTGTGGTTTGGATGGAAGGAGTGGAATAAGGGGTAAGGTTGGGCAACAACGCAAGTGTTTGTATTCAAACTGCGCCGGACTTGCACAATGTTCTTGGAGTAAGGGAAGATGACCGGAGCACGATCTTCGAGATGGAGGTAAATGCTCACGGATGTGCTCAAGGTGAAGGCGGTGATGGTGTGAGAGATGGCTGTCCACTTCAAGTGGAAGCCAGGTAGCGAGAAAAGATAACTTACGGATAGAATCGCAACTCGAAATTAATGGTGAAATCTCAAGTGTGACAAGAGTTGAAGCCGAGTCAACCTCAAGTATGCAAAGCGGGGGACAATTAGGAAGCAAGCTCCTTGACACGAGGTATAATTTGTTAGTAGTGGTGGTGGTGGAAGCAGAAGGCTTGGCTGAGTGAATAGATTGTGGTGGGGGAGTAGGGACATTCACATACCTCTCAACGGGCCACCAAGAAAAGACCTGAAGGTAGCGCCGAGGATGATAGGTTCTGCTTGTAGAATGGACTTTGCAATATTATCGAGGCCCAAGAATTCTGGGACAGTCAGAAGGTATTTGTGAAAGAAGAGCCAAGGAGTAGACACCAAAATCAGGGCTTGGACTTGAGAATAGAGGAGAAGAGCAAAGAAAATTGTGCGGATGGTTGGAGTGGCGAAAGCATTCGATCAAGTAAGATCAGATTATTTATAGGCTCTCTTACCCACAGCTAGACATATAGTTTGCCCGTTGCTAGGGTAAATAGAAGAGGGAGAGGGACACATGATGGGTTTTTCTATTCGCCGAAGAAGGTGATTTGGGTGCAAGAAGGTTTGAGGTTATTCGTAGGCTTCCTCATTCTGCTTGCGATGTGCCAGTTTAGGTTCAACCCAAACATACAGAAGACAGTGACAGGTAGCGCCGCACCGACAAGGGCCTGGATCCCTCAAGTCCTCGCACGTCGTTGAGAGACATTCAGAAGAGTCCTCTGAAGTGGTGAAGGGACAACCTGTTCAGGGCGGTTGCGTCTGTGGAATTCTATTCTTGTCGATGAGATATACCACAGTCACGAAGCAGCCAAGAGCATTTGATGATAGGCTTGAAAATATGCAGAGGTTCTTGGAATGGCCATGCAGATGGCTGGGCTTTGGGAGATATAATTCCACTAGAAAAATGACTTCAAAGAATTTTTCGATATATTTGCAGTCCTGAGCAAATGGAGTAGTGTTGATGTGGCAACGAAAAGTTCTATTTCAAACAGAAACCTTCTCCCGCCAACATTGTATTCTTCCCCTTTAGTGAAAGGCGCAACTGCTTCGTAAAACCCCCCAAAAAAATTTTTTTTATCAGGTTCATGCGCTGACCTAGAGAGCCCATGTCAAGCTCGTCGAACCCGCTCACAATTGTTGCTCGTTTTCAACTGCTCGTACATGTTATCGTGGCTATCCTCTGATATTGTCCTGACGGGGCAATGACAAAAACCGCCACTAGTGAAGTGTTGGGATTATCGTTGAGACTTCCACACATATATAAGCACCAAGAAACGTACTATATATGCTTGAAGACGCGATAGAGATCATGTTCCTCGCAACCACTGGTGTCAAACGTTGCACTCGATCAAGATTGAGCTTGAAAGAAGTGTTGATACCATCACTGATTAATATATAATCCAAAAGAGAAAGAAGGCAGCATAAGAGATAGATAGAGAGAAAGAAAGAGAGGAGGACTTGGTTACTATAACTACGCGTAGAATTAATCTGAAATCCACACCCCACGACACAATCATCCCTGGAGCCATGTGCCGCAGCTCAATCTTCAAAATATCTGAAATTGGTCGCAAGAGGATTTGGCTCAAACATTTGGCTGGCAGGGAATGACTGCAAAATTGCGACTTGTTTCGAGAATCTCGAACAAATCACCTGTGATGGGCACTATATATGATGTAACATGCTTGAAGATCCCATACCTACTCGATCAGGTGTTGATTCTAACTTACACGCAATGATACTACCTGACCTGGTCCTTTTCGATATACATGGACCTCCTTAACTCTGCCGGGATCCGGGGATATGACTCACATGGATGCCGTTTTCCAACGCCGTAGGGTCACACATTCCAGTTTATGAGGATAAACACGAAAGAGTTGCGAATGGTCCTTGTTGTGGAAACGTTGACGGCCTCATGTTAGACATACACTTGGTCTGCGAACGGACATAAACAACTATATTTTTGATGTACTACGACGCTGACTCTTTTATACCACCGGTATATTCCCAGATATTCATCATACTTTCTGGGTAGTAGTTGACTGCAGTCGTACATCCGCGTACATGTCAAGCCTCGAGTCAACAACGTTATGCAATAGACTTCTTCAATGACCATTGGTATAATCAAAGCGTAGCTCTGGAGTCTAGGGATAATCTATAGGGTACGAATATATGAATCAAAAGTACACATCGACAACAACTCTTGAGACCAAAACAAGTGTTGAAATTACTTTAGCAATCAGTGAGGGCCGGGCATGTAAGGGATTGCATGATTGCTGCCGCACGCTATTTGCCAGTCAAATACTGCCTGGCTAATCCCACAGATCCTCGATCAAACACACATAATCCAGTCACGCAGTAATGAAGGGATCATTGAGAGTCAACATGCCCGCCTCTAAATCATAATCGTCCCACGTTTGACTTGACCAACATTGTATGCCAGTCACTTCTGAGATATTTGCGTCAGTGGTTCCGACAATGCCTACGAGACACAATATCCGAGGTTGATCCGAACACGATGCTTGCTTAATAAGTGTATCGGAATATTTGAATCTGACCGCCAATGGCGAATGATTGCGTACTTGCCATTGGGAAATTCGGCAGGCAAGTATAGTCGAAGTGACCATAGTGACGCTTGAGCCAGGAATGGTTTAGAGGGAGTAGTATCGAGCTTCCACCTTGCATGGCGACTACTACCTACCTGCCATCCCACCCAACAACGGTCATGTACAACCCCCATCCGGGGATTGTGGATGGTAGTAGTAGTAGTACGGGAAGTAGCTTGGGGAATATCACGAACCGGCTCTTGGACATTTCTAGTCATGAGCAGCTCCAAGACATTTGGCCAAGTAGTGTCACAGGAAAAAGCCCAGTCCAGTTCAGCGAAGCGGAGGAAGCGGGGGAGGGTCTGGCAAGCTTTTGTCATTTAACGGTCGTTCGTCCCCTTTGCCTGCAAGCTCTTCTCGCTACTGATAGCTTTTTTTTCCTTTCCTTTCCTTACTTTGCTTGCTGTGATGGTGTCCTCGCACGACAGTAGATCGAATCTGCATCTCCCACATAAGGTGGGGTTTGTGCATGAGAGTGTGCACCGATCTCTGTCTGGTTCTCCTCCCTTTTCTTCCCACTTTATCCGTAGACAAAAGACAAATCAGAGCTTGGATACCTGGAGAAAGTCTCTTGGGGGGCGCGTGATCATCTTTTTTGGGGGGGATCATCTTCCAAAGGGCGTAGCCAAGATAATGCTCGGCTTGTTTTTCAACCCCCCCAGCCCCAGTTTGCTGATGGAACGGGGTCATTCTGTGCTGTCTTTAGTATGAATGTGATGGACGTCCGCTCGAGAGTATTGCTGTCCCTTTGCTGTTCCTCTGGC